AACGTTCTGTGCTACTGTAATGTGGAATTTGGATACAAATTGGTTTTCCTCTTTCTAATTCAGTATTGGTGTTGGAATTGCTGAAAACATTTCTCCGGTATTTTGAACTAAATCTCTGGAAATAGATTTGTTTTGATGTCTCTTCGTTATTGTATTTCTTATTCGCTATTCTACTGACCAGAAAATGTTCATCACTATTAAATAAGTTACCCAATTGTTTCTTTGTCACCAAAGGCACTTAATTGAAAGGTGATTGAGCATCTTACTGTTTGATTCATTATGTTTTAACTTTTAGGATATGGATCTTATGATCTTTCCTTTCATCTTCCTATCATCTGTCATTAATCTTTGAATTGTTTATGGTTGGAATGTGTCGGTGTAGTGTAAAGACAATGATATTCTTCATTTGAAAATCTATCTTCTAATGTTGGTTGGTCTGTTCTTATTTTGAATACACATGCAACAAAAGTGTCAGAACCTGTAGAAGAACAGCCTGTCTTCATCTCTACTCCATTTCCAGGCGATGCCAAAATTGCTTAAAAGGATTTGTATAAATTGAAATATGGCCATGCACATACACAAAATCAGTTTCTGTTGCTAAGATCATTAAATCAGTAACCCCAACATGATATATGCCTATGTCATCTTTGACCTTTGTATAAAGTCATTTGTTAAATCATGATGCTGGTTTCAGTTTTGGTTTTCACTCTAATATTTTTACTTGTTTGTAATAATTCTTCTCCTATGGGAACACTTTATATGCTCTCCACACTGCCCTCGACATAGCATTACTTTCTTGTAAAACAATCAACCTGATGTTTAGACTATCAGCCTATTTCCGGTTCAGGTAATGATATGCTTTCAATTCATGGATGAATATACTATGATATTTTTGTCATTGCAGGCAGTAAGAGTTGAACACTGTGAACGAGTTCATGTGATTATAGCAGCGAAACGAGTCTGCATTGCCAATTGTCGGGAGTGTTTATTCTTTTTGGGAGTGAACCAGCGTCCTCTTATTGTTGGAGATAACCACAAGCTACAGGTGAGTGAACCACAAGTGTCCCTTTTGTGAGCAATGAGAATTTAATGTGGTCATGCTTGAGTTTTGAGATGATAATTAATAAAGAACTTATTTCTAAGTAAACGGCCAACTAGTCTTAATTGATAGTGGAAAGAAATCCAGTTAGTTAAAATTAACTTCTATTTTGATCTTTTCTTCCAGAGAGAAGGTGTCTCTCTCTCTACCTCTCCTTGGGTTGTTCCTCCTTTCAACTTCAGCCAAACACACTACCCTACATGGTGGTTGGTGCTGTTAGGCTCTGATCATGGCAGGCCAATTATATTGAAGTGCCAACCACCCGTTTGATTTTCCTTCTTCTCCATGGTCTGTCACATCTCCGCTTGATCACACCAAATCTAAATCCGCTTATACTAAATTTCTTAAAAAATCCCAATTTCTTTCCTTACAAACACTTAACTATTAGTGGATTTTGACAACTTGCCTCTGTAGTTGTATTTTTGTTAAAAATGGGTTTAGGCCGATCTTGGTATTTTCATGTTTGATGGTTGAAATTAGACGGGCTTTGTCTGGTTGGTTTCACTACTGCAGGTGAAGAAAGTTGGCATACTGAAAGCTTTAGGAGAGGCCTCAATTCAATCTGTAATAGTATGAATGTTTTCTTTTCTTGTGCTATTTGCTAAATGGATGAAAGCCAAAGCAAACTGATGCAGAACCAACAAGCTCAAAATAGAATTTCTGAGAAGCTAATATAGAAAGAATTCTAGTGAAAATTTAATATGATATCTGAAATCAGTTGCCAGGCCAGAAAAGTCAAAGTCTTAAAAAGTCAATTGTCAAAAGCTGCCCTCAACAGTTTGAGATTTAACTATAAATATTTTATCTGTGCCTTAAAAACCCTAAATTAAGCCCACATAAAAAATCCAAATAGAATATGATAAAACCAAAAGAGAAAAACCTTTCTTTTCTACATAAATTTCTATCTAAATAAGTCTGCCTCAGCTGCTTGATGTTGATTTTACATGATGAACTACAGTCAATCGGGGATAAAATTACGTGAGTTAATTATGGCAACATTTATTTTTGGTATTTATAAGATGAGAAGAGAAGAAAGGGAGGGGTTTTGATGTAGTGGGATGATTGACCAGATTGCAGTCTCAAGGTGAAAGACATCTCAAGGTGACACCTGGTTGGTTTCGTGGCTTATGGGTGGAAGAGAGAATTTCTCTTATATTTGTTGTTATGTTTAATTTTGTGTTTTTAAAGCTGATTTTTCTCAAATAAAGCTCATTTGTCCTTCTTTTTTGCATGTTAACCAAGATTTTTAAAATTTTAACAGCTTGAAAAGAATTATTAATGGAATATCCTGTTAATCTTTGAACAAGATGGGGTTAAACTAGCACTTCTGTAGTTAATTGAACCAACTATGAGCCAAATAAATGAAGAGTGATCAAGTTAAACGTTGGGCATAAGTTCTATTGTAAAATCTTTTGGTGATCACCTAGTAAATGGCTCTGTGCTGGATAGAAGATACAAAGGATACATGCTTGTAGTGCCTTATGTCTTTCTTGGTGAGAATATTATTAAGGTTATTAAAACAATTTGATCATTCTTAGTAATGATTTTTTTTACAAAGAAAAGCAATCAAACCTTAACTTACAAGAAAATAAAGATTACTTTAGAGCTAAACTTCTGTAATCTTTTCCATGCATATGTTTAAATAAGGTCTTTCAAAACTTGTTTGAGCTCATTGCTTTATTTAGCATTTGATTTCTTTGTGGTATGCTATTTTTGCTGTCTAATCCATTCTGTCTGTTAGCTTGCAATGATTGAGGGTTTGGGGGATTTTCTTCTGGCCATTTTAATGCAAATTGTTGCTTTCAGCCTATCACTATGTTTGCATAAACGGTATATAGAATATTAAGGTTTTCAAGCAATATTTAATTCCTCGAGGATTTGATTTTGGCATATTCAATATCTAATTATGCTGCAAAATAGAATATGGACCAGTGGTGGAGAGCTCCCCTAGAAGGCATTCCTTGTTTCTTTCTCCAGCTGGTAGATATGGGCCCTCACAGATCATTGATTAATCTTTAACGACAGTTTTCACTTTTTAGACCCATCTTGCTATTGTTTTGAGTTGGTTTTTGGGTGTTATCACCAGTATGAACTTTGATACGGAGGAAGACTGACATTTTTGGAAATTCTTTTCTTAAATTTTATCAGGTGGCACCATATAACACATATTACTCCCAGTTGGAGGAGCATATGACTGAAGTTGGCATTGAGGCAACTATCAATAGATGGGATGAAACTTTGGCACTTGGAGTGATTGATCCACACGATTCATTATCTCATCCTGCAGGTGTTTCTGATGCTCAAGCTGAGTTAGCTACACGCCTAGATCCTGATCAGTTCACAAATTTTCTGGTATGCTTCTGTGTGTTTCATAGCTTGGCTTGGAGTATTTTGTATCTCTCTTTACTTTTGCCTTATTTATGATTTGATATTCTTGTACATGACATGCATTTCACAATACACAGATTCCAACCTGGTTTGAAGGTGAATCCATTGGGTCAACAAAGGATAACCCATTCCCCTTACCTGATGCGTACATGACATCCCAACAGAGAAAAGTAAATGCACTAAGCCCAACTGAGGATGACAAGCTTTGACTTTATAATTTGAGCTGGTTTTTATCTGCATGATACAAGCGATAATGTGTATTTAGAAGTAATGCTTGGTTTTATTGATCTTTCTAATATTGAATTAACATAATTTTTGTTGTCTTCCTAATGTTATCAACAGCTAAAGAATTTAGGTGAGATAAAGCAAATATTGAGAGAAACTCCCCTTGAAGAAAATCGGAAAAGAGAGTTATCATGCGCTCTTCATGTATACTTCAAAGACTGGTTATATGGTAAATCCATCATTTTCTATCTTTTTTGTTGAGGTCATCTTTATATTTCCATGTGTGGTGGTTTCATTATTGTTTTAGGCATATTCATGGCCATAGTTGTTTCCAGTTTTGAACTTCCCTAGTCCAGAGTTCTTTTGATGATATGATGCTATATGGTAAAGATTATATGGTCCTTTCTTGAAAGTTCAAAAATAAAAATAGGTTCTTGTGACTGAAGATTGTCTTTTCTAAATGAAAAGCGATTATATTCCTGTTGATTTTTTGGTAGGTTCCCATTCATTCTATTTCATTCTTTCCATTTGATTTCTGATGATTTTACCCTTATCTGATTTTCATTTTCCCTTCTGAATTATAAGCAAAACTGAGGGTAGGATATTACCTTAATTAGGAGATCAACTGACTGGCTGAATTGAACTGTTTAAGTTTCTATGTATTTTTCTGAGTTTACAGCCTGTAATCATCTTAACTGGTGTTTCTGAACTTTATAGTGTATGGTATGAATAAAAGATTTTTAGTAAATGAGCTATAAGAGAAGGGCCGCTACTTAAATTTGTTTTTCTGTAATAATATGGCAGCTTCTGGAAATATTCGTCAGCTGTACTGCCTACAAGGTGACTGATACTTCACGGTTAAGCTGCATATTTAGATGAGTTATAGAAGGACGGTTTATGGTTTTCTTTCACTTCAACCCTTTGCCAGTTCCTCGGTCATTTCTGCAGGTACAACAGGCAGTTGAGAATCAACCTTTTTTAGTTTGGAATGGCTCAACAATTTTATGGATTGGCTCTTGTGCACAGAATGCAATTAGATATACATTTGCTAATCTCAATGTAATATTTTTTGGCTGAAAAAAGAAATAATTTTTACTGTAATATTTGTTAGCCTAGGTCTACAGTCTTGTGAATTTTATTCATCCCTTTATCTATCCATGTGAATTTACATGCTGAATTTCTTTTTATCCAGTGTTCTTCCCTTTTGTTTTTAGTTCTTTTTTATTTTTTATTTTTTTCAAATTAGGTTTTAATGGCAGCAAGCTCAACTTTTTAGATAAAAGAGGTTTTACAAGTTTATTGTTTTTTATTGGTATCTTTTCGTCGACATTTGACTCTCGCAGTTCTGTTGGTCAATAGATAAAGGTTGATTACAGTTTAAATCTTATAAATTCGGGGGAAGATCTTTCTGCATTGAAAATTATTCATGGTACATTTTCGGACATCCTGGCTATCAAATGTCATTGCTAGAATCGATGTGAATTACTTCAATGAGCCAAAAATGAAAAGCATATCATCACGTGAGGGAATGTATGCATTCACCTCCTTTTGCCAAAATAACAAAATCAAGCTATAATCTATAATTGTTGTTTAACGATATAGTGGGACTTCCACAGACTTCTGGCAACCTGTCTGATAACGCTTAAGTCCTGATTAGTGAGCACAAACCTCAGTAAACTCATTTTTCAAGTTTCATAATTCCCAAATTTTGATGGAAAACTCAATACCTGAAGGATATGCTCAGAAAACAGATACGCAGTTGATGTCGACTTCGTACTCGACCGTTCAAGCACCATTCCTTTTCCATATTTTGTTTGAGCAACCTATATTATCTCCAAAGCAAAGCAAAGAATTTAACAAATGTGAATGCCAAAATTCATTTATTTAATTCTGTCTAGCAATCTAAAAAGAATCTCTCGGGTTCTGCTCCTGTTTAACAAGTTACATGATCCTACACAAATTGTTTACAAACTTTTATCCTTCCCTCCGCTAGGATTCCTTGTTGGTATTGGCATTGTAGAAAAATACAAAATTTTGGGTTCTCCAAGGCCTAGCTTGCAGGAGACATCTGAAGTAGCTTCTCTGCTTGCTCCGGGAAGAAGGTTATAAACAGATAGGCGCCTGCGCATTTCAAGAGGTTAAAAAAAAGGAAAATAAGAGTCGGAATTACTTGAAGAAAATTCTAATTAATGTTGAATTACTTACAGATGAGTACAGTTCCAAGCACAGCTGAAATCTTTCCTTGAATTGTCACCAAACCAGCTTTGCCAGCATCTTGCAACTCTGTAGTACCTACACTATCAAATGTACCTGCAAAACAACAACTACTTGATTCTCTCATCCTTGCATACATGACAAGCTGGCCTTTACAAAAGCAAGCAATCCATGTTTAACCTGGTTTTACGGTTTGAAGCCCTGATGTTATACATGCTATATTCTCGAAACCAGCTTGCTCCAATTTATTGGCAGCAGAAGGAGACCTTGACATAAAAAAAGCAGAATTCTTTCAAATGGTTTTTACATTGAGGCAAAAATAACTGGATGCAAGTGAAGTGATAAGGGTGTGGAAATAAATTCAGACCATTCATCGGTTGATATCTAAATAAACCAGTATATTCAATGCAGAATAGCCTTTATCACAAACAAGAATAACATCAATCAAATCTAGAAAAAGGATCGGAGGTATACTAATAAAGTAGATCGTGCATCTAAAGATCTCACACATTACATTTCTCATCTGAAAAAGATAGATGAATAATAAGTTCCTCTATGCCAACTAGTTCTGTGTTATGAGACTGATGTGTTTATAATCTTATGGCAACCAGGTGCTAACACAAGACAAAATTAATGAAACAACATTCAGGGTATGGAACTGTTAGACACATCATAACAATGATAAGATAATTGATTTAATCGGCTGCCGGAAACATCAAACTCAGCAAATAACAAGCTGTTCTGTCGTCTTTTGGCTTAAATCCTAAAAACTTTATTATGTCAGTTCTGTGCCTAATGAATCTTGGCATAGAATTTTATGGTCTATTGCCTATCGGATTCTCTGATAACCTAAATGAACACATTTAATCAAATCAAACCATCTGAAGGACAATAAAAACTAACCTTAGCCCTTCCTGACATACAAGTAGCAATTTACTTTCGCCTGAAAACTGACTTTTCACAGATTGTACAAATTCAGGATTGACTTTTGTAAATGGCAACCCAAAGAATAAACCAGAAAAATTATTGTGCAAAGTCCTCTTTATTATTGTGCCTGCACAAACAAAACCGAAAAAAAAAAAATCAAAATGAGTTGATTGCTATTTCAAAAATCACCTGTGCTCAGTTATGTAGTACTTAATAATCTTTAGAGGTGAGACAAAAAAAAAAAGGCAGTCCGGTGCATAAAGCACTCCTGCTATGCAGCGGGTCCGGAGAAGGGTCTATTGTATTTTTGCAAGAGGGTGTTTCCAACTACCAGGTCACATGGCAGTAACCTTTCTGATTGCACCAAGGCTTTTAGAAGGGAGACAAACATGAAAAAGTGAGCTGAATTTAGAAGAAGTAAGGAAGATAGAAGGGTTTTACCAGGATCATTGTCTTTGTTTTCAATGAAAAGAGGCACATGATAACACGATTTGATATGAGCTCGATCAAACTGAGATTTATCACGGACATCAAGAACCGCATAACCCTCAACTGCTACAAGTTTTTTTGCTTCTTCAGCATTTACAAAATTCACATCCGCTCTAATGCTTAAATTTCTTTGCCGAATAGGTATCCCTGAGATAGCTCTTCCATGGTGAGTCATTAATTCCAACCAAGTTCTCCTAGAATTGCTGAAAAACAGAACTTAATTCATTACTTCCATGTTCACAGATTTTGATTTCAATTTCTACACTAGTTGTGCTTATCTAAACTATACAATTACAAATTTTCCAACAAAAAATTCATGAATTTTGCAAATCAAACAGCATTGAACAAACTACTGCATTTGTTAAAATCTTTTTTTTACTAAGAAGTCAAATTATCAATTCATCATCCTTCTAAGATTACCATAAAAGCTAACTGGAAATTAGCTAATTAGTTTATCAATAAGCGTGAAAAGACTCAAAACTTCACGTTCTTTCTTTTTGTCCATTTTCTCAGGAATCCAATGGAGAGTGTATAACAAAATTCAGCAGAAAAAAAAAAAAGATATAGTAGAATACAACTATCCAAAAGGCTATAAAACAGAAGAAAGAAATGTGTGTGTTTTTATGTCAGTGGTTAGCCAAATTTCTTTACATTTTTAGTTTTAGAACTCAGCAAAGAGCATTCTGTATTATTCTAAAGAAAAACTTTTCCTTACAAACTGAAAATAAAGCATCCTACATATAGCACTAAAGCTCAATATAGCAACATTCAAAAGCCTAATAATTCTTTCTTCCGACTATTTTGATTTTTTAAGCTACCAAAAACCAAACCCAGAAATTATTTTTTGAGATTAAGCACTAAAATTTAAAACTTCCTTGAATTTGACCACAAAAGTTTAGAACTTTAAAAGAAACAGAAATTTGACACTGTTACCTTGCACAAGGGAGAGTTAAATGACAAGCAGTAGCAATTCCGGCCATTGAATGGACGAATTGAAAGAAATCTTTGCTTGTTTGTTACAGCTCTCTCTCTTCAGAGTGATTAACTGGACAGTTCACGGTTCAGGATAGACACGACATTGGCTCAAGGAATTTGGAAGGGGCAATAGGCTGCTGCCACGTGTCTATGAAAAATGGATAAGCTAGTATTTCTTAATTCTTTGAGAACTCCACTGTCTGATTATGCTTTTCGGACCACCCGCCGCCTCCTTTCGGGCAAGTAATCGATAGAAAAAAATTAATAACTGATTTAATCGTTTTTATTTAACAAATAATTAAATCGATAAAATATTATTAAATAATTAATTATATTTGATTCAATCAATTTGATTACATAATTAATTTTTTTATTACAAATAATTATTTAATCATAAATTTAATTTAATAAAATTTAAATTTAACTATCGTTCAAATTAAGTAATTAAAAAATTTAATAATTTTAATAATATTTATAATAAAAAAATAAATAAAAATATTTATTTTAATTTTATTATTTTTATTTATTTAAAAATCGATTAATTCTTTTAATTTAATTATCAATTTTAAAAATAAAAAATTATCGAATTAATTAATTTAAAAAATTAATTATAATTAAAATCGAATAAATTAATTTAATTTAATCAAATTTATTCTATTATAAGCAATTTGTTCGATTATAAGCAATTTTTGCTCACTCTGACACCGTCACCTTGCACAAGGGAGAGTTAAATGACAAGCAGCAGCAATTCCGGCCATTGAATGAACGAATTGAAAGAAATCTTTGCTTGTTTGTTACAGCTCTCTCTCTCTCTCTCTCTTCAGAGTGATTAACTGGACAGTTCGCGGTTCAGGATAGACACGACATTGGCTCAAGGAATTTGGAAGGGGCAATGGGCTGCTGCCACGTGTCTATGAAAAATGGATGTGCTATTATTTCTTAATCCTTTGAGAACTCTACTGTCTGATTATGCTTTTCGGATCACCCGCGGCCTCCTTACGGGTGAGTAATCGATCGAAATATTTGAAAAAATTAATAATCGATTTTTATTTAATAAATAATTAAATTGAATAAATATTATTAATAATTAATTATAATCAAATCTATCAAAATCGGTTGTTCAATCAATTTAATTAAATAATTATTTTTTATTATAAATAATTATTTAATTATAAATTTAATTTAATAAATTTTAAATTCAAGTATCATTTAAATTCAAATTAAATGATTAAAAAATTTAATAATTTTAATAATATTTTATAATAAAAAATAAATAAAAATATTTTTCTTAATTTTTTTATTTTTATTTATTAAAAAATCGATTGATTAGATCAATTCAATAATTAATTTTAAAAATAAAAAATCTATCAAATTAATTAATTTAATTAATTTAAAAAATCGATTATAATTAAAATTGAATAAATTAAATTGATTCAATCAAATTTATTCAATTTTAATCAATTCAAACCAATTTTTACTCACTCTTATACCTCCTTCCCTAACACACACACACACACACACACCCCCCCCCCCCCAACAAGAAACAATTGAAATTACGATTTACTACCGGTACAAGTATAATTTTACAATGACTGCATGAAAATTTAACCCGAGCAATAAAATTATCGTACCCACAAAAAACAGAAAAAAACACTGTTTAAGACTTAAAAGTGAAAGTAGATAAATAAATTTAGAAGTCAATGTGTTTAAAAATTTAAGAGGGTATGGAAGAAGAATTTCAAATTTAATATGTAAGAAATAACAAATAAATTAAATGATTATTGATTTGAGTGTAAAATACAAGGTAAAGTTCTAAGAAAAAATGTTATATCAAAATTAGTTGCGATTGGTTGTGCTTCTAACTTTCAAGAGAACTTGTTAATGGATGGTTCTTGTTTTAGATTTAGACCATCATAGTACAATTTTCTCTCTCTCCCTCTCTCTCTAATTATTCTTATTGCTTGATGGAAAGTTTCCACCGTGAACTAGTAATATTCAAGAGAGAGAGTGAGAGAGAGAGAGAACCATTACTTCGCTGCTAATGTTGTCTACAGCAAAAATTAATAACAATTGCAAAAGCAGTAATAAAGAATTCAATAGTTTCAGAAACTGTCATCTATAACATGATTTTGATAAATGACAAGGTATTTTTATTCAAACCAACATTCTCTCTCTAAAAGCAAAGAGCAAAAGGGAACTGAGAGTATGATTAAATCTTCAAAAACAAAGACATCCAGTTCAACAAACAGGACTGATTATCTCGCATTAAGTTTGATGTGTCTTCTCAACATTTACATGCAGGGTTTATGAATCAGCAGGTCTTTTCTTGATGGTATAAGGGTAAAGCTCTTTGCCTACTTCTTGTCTTGTTGTCTGACCTCCAGCATCAATTGCGGCGGAGGTGAATCCCAGCACCGATCCAGCAGAAATAGCTCTTGAGATGCTCCTCCCTGGGAAATGGACAGCATGTCATTACATTTGTTGAACATTAACAAGTCGACAAATGACAAAGTTTATCATGGATCCCGAAACCAAGTTAGAATTCAAAAACCCACATTAGACATTGATAGTCCCCCTTTTGTTCTCCTTAAAAGCACAAAAACTTATGGAAAGCTCATCGTACAAAATAATACCTTTACACAAGACAACTCTCTACCTCAAAAGATAGAAACTCAGATCCTTCCCCCTTTCCCTGCCCCCCACTCAAGGATTTTATGACAACCTATTTCAGCTCTTCTTATTGTCAAATCACTCTAGACTCCACAGACAGCTCTCAATACAGACACAACAGACAAAGCAAGCCAGCAACTATAGTAATGTATGATTCATGACTTTCAAAAAGGAGCATACTAAAAACCTTAGCATACAAGGAAATTATATGAAAAATCAGGAGTACTAACTTTTGTCATTCACTTGACACGGAACTCCTACCACTTAATATAAAAAACTGAGTACAACATGTTTAAGAAAAATCAACAAGACAAACAAAAACAATTCAAAGCAATAAATCGGTAAACGAGTATAACTTTTGCACCATTGTTTAGATGGTGGTAAAGATCCTAAGAAACATCACAAGCTTCGAAATTTTGAAGAGGTCAAGCTTTCTAAGAAACCCATCATTTATATTACTGAAACACAAAAATTTATATGATCTGATATACATATAGTAATATTTTTACCAGGCAAAATGAGAGGTCAAAATTTCAGTATATCACAGAGTTTTTGTAGACAATATTATAATAAACAACCAAGCTATGTCAATTGGCACAAAAAGTTGCTGTAAAAACTAATAAAATTAGATAGCAAGTTTTAAAGTGCACAAAGCATACTAGCTGTCTAAATAAAATCTCACCTTTGAAACCAAGGATGGAAGCCCCAGCCACGAAACCACCAACAGCACCATTGACAAAGTCTCTCTTCATCCTATAATTCTGCAAAAGCTGCTCAACACCAATATAGACTCCCCCAATTGCAGCAAATGTCATTCCATAATTGCCCATCATCTTCAGTGTTCTTACAAGCCCTGGTAGGGCAACACTTCTCTCAACACGAGGCACATCATACCACGTAGCAACAATGGTTCCCCAGATAGTTCCGGCAACAAAACCAGTAGTTGTACCCTTGATTATTTTCATTGTTGGAGTGTCATCGTCCTCATAATACCTAAGCTCTGAAGGGTCCATAGCTATCTTCTTACTGCATAACAACCAATATAACCAAAAAAGTAAAAAAAATAAAAAACTGGTTCAGCTCCAACACTTGTATGTAGCATATCTTTTATAGAAAAAGATGACCCAATTAAAATCAATCTGGAGTTGAACATGGCCTTGGGGTTGGGCTAAATAACGGAAGGTAGTTCTCTCCATCGCACTTCTCAAGATTCAAGCTTGATAATCTGAGACTTCTAAATTTGAACGTAAAATTTTAACTGTGGGTATCCCTTTGGGGACACAACAACAAGCATATCATCTAAAGCAAATTATAATACAAAATGGGCCTTCAAATTTCAATTAAACCTAAAAAAAAAGCCAATTCAATCAGTAAATCAACGTGATCATAATGTCATCTTTTCATAAGAAAATAGCAAAGCCCTTACAACTCAAATAAAGCACATCTATATACAACGTTTTGATATTTTCAAGTACAGGTAAAAAGGGCAATGAACCAAACATTTTTTTGTTCAATGCAAAAATTTTGCATTTTCATGACCATAAAATCTATTGCCCAGCTGCTAACCAAACAATGCCTGAGCAACAAATTAAAACATTTTTTATTTAATTCCCAAAATGAAAAAAAAAGAAAATTTAAAATGCTAACCTAATTATCGCCTAAATCACAGGTCAACAAATTTATAACAAATAATAAAAGAAAAAAAAAAGAAATTGGAATAGATCATCAAATCGAGCAAACAAAATGATTAGATTAGATTTATGAAAAGCCAACCCTAGATTATATGCAGCTGATTTAAATATATATTTCACTAGATTTTAAAAATTAATTTAAAGGAAGAAACATTGTTAATTAAGAAAATAAAGAGAGAAAATTACCTTTTTGATGAAATTGGAGAAGGCCAAGTAAGAGAGTGTGGGAGTTCAGCTGAGAAATGTTTTCGGCGAACAAAAGAAATGTTTGCCCCCTCGATGATGCGCCACTATTTGACAGTATAATTAGCGTATTCTCCATTTTACCCTTCTTGTTTCCCTTATTTACGGTAGATGTTATTCTTTTGGTCAGGGGCTCAGGGCCCACAGGAATAATAATAATAATTATAATAATAATAATAATAATTATTATTATTATTATTAATAACCTTTAAACGACACCGCATTGGGCAAAAAAATCGACTCAGCATTCAACCCGACCCGTTGCAGTTGTTATTACCAACATCAAGGCACCCCAAAGACTCCGTTTACTCAATTGCCAAAAATCTCAAAGTTTCCGATTCATATTTTCCCGAGAAAACACTTTCTCACAAAAAAAGAAATTAAATAGAAATAATGCAAACAGCGGAGAACATCCGTAATCTCCCAATTGATATAACGTTTTCTCGTCTTGGAGGTAACGCGCTAAATTATCATTTCAGTTAATCTCGAAAAATATTCAGTTTCTCTTTTTCAAAACTTTGATGAAAACTACACTTGAACATTGTTTTAACGATTTTTTTTTTTCGTTTACTGAAGAATGGTTGGTTGATCGCAAGAGAATACCGTCGGATTGGAGAAAGAGATTAGTGGCGATACGATCTAAGATATCGAAGGAGTTCTCGGCGTTGCATAAGGATATTGATCCCTATTTTCAAACCCTTGAGCCTGAAGGTCAGTTTTTTTCTTTTTAATTTTATTCTATTTTATTAAATTGACATATTTCACTAAACGATTGCTGATTGTACTTACAATTGTTTTTCAGTAAAATTTCATTTTATGCGATTTATGTTGTTTTTTGTTGATGAGGTGAAAATTGATGGATTCGCTGTTTGGTTTTAAATAAGGAGCGAAAATTTGCAGTAGCTCTTGCTCTAATTTCCGAGTTTTTGTTTGGTTTGTAGCCTGGTGCTTTTACTGCTTGGTTTTTTGCTTCTGGAAGTGAAAAGTAAAAATATGTAATTGGATACAAAAGTAAGATTGATTTTTGAAACATTGAGGAATAATTGTAAAGTTTTTATGTTTACTTTTTATTTTGGGGGAAGGGGATTCAAACTCGCTGGAGAATATAATGCAATTGAGCCAAATACTCAGGTGCAAATACGTATGAAGTTTAACTCCTTGGATTATACTTATACATGGAACAGTTTTGTTTGAATTAGTCTTACAATTTAACTATTTACTCATTTTCAATCAGATATGAATTTTAACTTCCATTAGAGTTTCCTTTTGCTGCCAGCATGCTCTTAACATGTGTTGGAAGTTTGAAGGTGAAGAGAGTAGAGTAAATGGGTGGACAAGTGAGAAGAATGGAGTAAACAACTCTTTCCTACCTTTGTTTGGGATTGAATTAGAGAGAGGGATAAAGTTTCAAGTTTATAGGCTATTATTACCTTTGTAGCTTGATTTAAAAATTAAGAGTGGGTGTAAAAAGGGATCAAATCATTTATTTGAACTACCCTAATCTTATTCCTTTGATTTGAGGGATTTATCAAGTGGGATTTTCAGGGGTTTGGTTACATCATTAGCTGCCTCTTTTCCTTTTAAAAGATAAACCCTCTTACAATGTAAAATAAACTCATTATCCCCATTCACACTACTCTCTTCCACTCCCCTCCATCCAAACACACTGTAAATTGCCACCTATAATAATTCCACTTTTTTCTTTTATGCTGAAAATCTCACTCTTCACCATGGGCCACCAGACTAGAGCTTTTTAAAGGACTTGAAACTGACAAATGACAACCATATAGATGAGAGGGGAGTGCATTGGTCATTAGCAAACCAGAAGAGTGAGAAGCACATTAAACGGGCAAGAAAGCTTCTTATATTACTGTGCTTTATATATGTATCTTTATGTGGCAGAAAGTGTGTTATCGGCTATGAGCTTTGAACATAAATACACAAGAGATTTTTTTTTAAATAATGTTATTTTTTGAGCACATGTTGGGTTTCTACGTCCCTCTCTCATCTTGAGATGATTATGTAGTGCATGGATGTGAAGTCCAGGAATTTCAATCGAAGTTTATGACTTTATATGTGATTTTTTCTTATATTTATTTTTTTAACTTTTTTTGTTCATTAAAGTTGTCAGAATTGGACTTTTAAGTGGTGTTTTACTGTTTTATTTATTGTGCTCTTTTTCTGGTTATCTGATGACTAGCATACTGCTTTCAGGAATTGGTTACTTAGAGGCTAAAATGATATATGATATTCTTCTTAAGTCGACTCCAGAAAGCCGGAACATATTTGGCCGGCTATCAGGTGCTGCTGTAAGACAATAACTCCATCTCTCTCTCTCTCTCTCTCTTACTCTCTCTGGCATGCTCACATGCACTTACTCAAAGACTCAAACACTTGCTTGTAGACCAATGGAGTCAAGCACTGAATCCTTTTAATAACCATGAAATGTGTATTAATCCTTTGACAGGGATCTTGGGAAGCAATTGTGCATTCCTTTGAGAAAGATCATCTTTTCCTTGGTGAGGCTGCTCAAATAATTATTCAGAATGTAAACTATGAAATGTAAGCATGTGGTCTTTGTTGGTTTTAACCTTCTTTTGAATGAATAATTCACACAAGTATTGATTTATTGTCAATTTAATGCACTTTATGATCAGTTTTCTTAAAATGTAAAGCCCATACCAGAAAAAACAGGTGCAGAAGATTCAGCAACAACTGGCAGAACTTGAGCGGAAGGAAGCTGATATAAAAAGAAGTGCAGCTCTATCAGCTGCTAAGTATGCTGAGGCTTGCCAAGAGCTTGGTTTGCAGGTTATGATAGTATTTATATTGATGGTAGCAACTTGGTCTAATTTGTATTTCTTCTTGCAATCAATGCATTAAAGTGGAAATCATTGAACATTACAGGGAAAAAATGTCAGGCTTGAACTCTTGGAGACTGCTAATTCACTTCCAAGCACATTTCGCAGGATTGTAGAAGTTATTGATGGTGATTCTATTTCACAGGGGATCGAATATTATTCTAATTTTGTCAGAGATGCTCATACAGAAAAGGATGTAAGATAATACTTGTTTTTTTGCTGTTTGCTCTCTCCAAAGTTTTAGCTTATTTTTTTGATCTTAGTTGTAAGTTGAATTTTGTAAGTTATATAATTTAGCTGCTCACAAAAATGATTTGCAGAAAGCTTCACTTGCTGTCTTGCCGAACTTGAAAGACATTCGTGAAAATCATCCATCGTTAAATGTTTCTGCAGCTTCTGAGATCCTTGATTTAGAAAATACTCAATTAAGCTATAACGAAATAAGCCTTGTGAAGGGAGATGTAGATGTCAACACAGATACTATTGATTGGGATATCTCTGTTGACGGTGCTCAAATTGATTGGGATATTGGTACTTTGGAAGAAACTGATGATGGTGGTAATGGGTTGGGCCCATATGAGATAGTTAATGCCAGTGAGATCTTGCAGAATGCTTTACCAAATGAAGCTGCTGATTCTGATAAAACCCCATTGCAAAATACAGAATACTACCCTGCTACTGAAATTTCTGTGTCAGATTTATCCTGGGATATTAGTGTTGAAACACCACAAGTTGATGTGATTGATGATGCCGGCTTACCAAACATACAATTGGAAAATCAGACATATGTTCCAGATTCCTTACCTAGTACCCAAGGAACCAAGGAGGAGAGAAGCCAACTTTTGGAGACAGAGTACAGAAATAAGATTCTGGATGATTTGTATGAGGTATGTGCTGATTAATCCTATAGAAATATCTGATTGGCTAATATTGCTGTAATATTTCTTTTTATTTTTCCTAATATCTCATTGGAAGAAAAGGTTTCATTAATAGGCAACTCTTATGTAATTTGTGATTGATGCATATTGACTTTTGGTCTGCCAATACCATTTTATCTTCTGTATGAACAAATAAGAGAAGTAAAACAGCATTGAAACTTCCCTAGGCATACTTATCATTATGGTGTAATCATTTCTGTCATTAGATCAAAGCATATTTCTAGTTCAAGGCTTCATATTTGGTTTAAAATGTTGTGTTATCAGATGAAGGCATTTTTGAACCAGCGATTGGTGGAGTTGAGGAATGAAGACACTCTGTCCTTGCAAAATCAAGTCCAAGCAGTTGCTCCCTTGGTGCTACAGCAGTATACACCTGATGCCATTGAGACAATGATATCTGATATTTCATTGGCTATTTCTCTGCTGACAAATAGAAAAACACGGGATTTAATCATGATTCTTAACTCTAAAAGGTCTGACTTGATAACTTAATTTGCCTTTGTATGTTGAGTTGTTGACTGCTGTCATTTTCCTTTTTTTTGTTTCCTTAAATTCTCTTTTAAAACAAATGTCCGTCCCAACTTCTTATGTTTGGTTATCAGAAGCAGTATAAGTGGAGAAAATTCCTCTTGCAGAAAAAAACCAATTCATCCCTATGAAACAATTGCGATTGGGTTATGTAGCTATTGATATTACTTTCCGTGCTGAAGAAGTTTTAAATTGCTGATCTTCAGTTTTCACCTTTGGAAATCTGCATAATGTTGTACTAAATTGTTAGATTTGTTACTAATTAACCCACGTTTCCACTCAATCTTTAGATTAATCTGCAAAATGGTAACCATGTTTTGTTCTAGCATTGCAAGGAGTATAATCAGTAAAAAATAAATAGCAAAATGATAGTATGGGAGATTGGACCATGCTTTGCCTATTTCTCTCAGATGCATTAGCAGTATTTTCTGTCCATTAGTTTCTATTTCAAAATGGTTTTCTAATTACTTTTACTTCTGTAAGAATGTAGAATTGGGTTAGTGTTGTCATTTTTAGGTCTTTGCTTTAACTAGATCCCCACCTCCCTCAATCAACCTTTTTTCAATGACCGTATATTTTAGTATCCACCCTAGAGTTATGAATATAAGGCTTAGTTTGTTGTTGTTGTTGTTGTTGTATATTTTAGTATGCTGAGCATAGTTTTCATCTTCAGTGAGTTTTTTTTTTTTTCCGAGTGTCATTAATGAGTTTTAATTATATTTAGTGCCGGTTTTGTTGTTTTAAATTCAGATTCCTAGACAGACTAGTTAGTACATTGGAGGAAAAGAAACATCATGGAGTGAAGTTTAAAGAGGGGCTGAAAGACGTGGCTGCCAAACGTATGGAGCTCCAGAATTCTCTATCTTCTTCATGGCCAAAGCAAGTGAGTTTTCTTTCTATTGTGACAGTTGCACTGAGAAGAGTGTTTTGCATTTTTTGCTCTCATATTATCAAGTTGAATTAGTTAGTTTCTGCTAGCACTCCTCTACTCTGATACTTACGATTTTTAGTTCTTAGATAAAAATGAAAATCTAGCGTGAATAAAATTCAACCCTACTACTGTAATATCTCTGGCAAAAAAAAAAAGGAATCCTATTGTATGTCTTGATTGTCTTCATAATGTCTGGGTTCTATCTCTAAGGAATAAATTAAATGATTGTGGTTCTGTTCATACTACATCATCTGAATGTCATTGCATATGATTGTGGTTCTTTTCATATATGAAAATGAAATAATTTCTAAATGACTTGAATCATGTATTGAGGGAAAACCAAAAGTTAGCTGTCTAAGAAGCTCAATTTCCTCATTTACCTTTTTCCTCTCTTTGCTTTCCCTAATTCAGAAGTGATGATGTAACCGCAGGAAGCTGCTCTTGCAAAAACCAGGGAGCTGAAGAAGTTATGTGAAAGTACTCTTTCATCAGTATTTGATGGAAGACCAGTTAATATAATTGGAGAGATCAATGCATTGTTGAGTAGCGGTGTTAGTGCATAAACTCTGGAGATGTTAGCTTAGGTGGAAATGAAACTAGCAAATCAATCTTAGAAGGCGCAACCGTTCTCTGTTTAATGTCTTTAATTTTTTTTTCATTGTACAATGATATTTGATGTTTCATTGGCGATCTCATTGCTCACAAATAGAACACAGGATTTAATCATGATTCTCAACTTTGAAAATATCCATTTTCCAAACTTCTGTTCGGTTATCAGAAGCAGTATGGGAGAGGAGGTAATGAGATGAACTTGCATTATTTTAGAAACCAGCAATCAAACTTTAACACTAATGACTAGTGAAAGGGGCTTATCTATATATGAAATTGAATCTCAGTTTCACCGCATTGAAGAATCAACACAAATGCTAGTGCATCAACTTGACAGCCACAACATTGATCCAAGAATCCTGGGAGTTCCGGTAATAGAAAACTCAATGCTATGCCAAAGAATGATATGGGCTGATTTTGGAGTATTTCCTACATCAGGAACAAGAATCCTACTCCGATATAGGATTAGGAGGACAAATGGCTAGCGGCTGGGGAGCCCTTGAAGCAAGTTTGAGTTGAACGGAAAGATCTCTCCAAGGGGTCAACTTCAGTGCCATCTGTTTCTCTGCTTCTTATTATGCCCATCTTTTGTAATAGACGTGTCAGAGATTCCACGATTTCAGACATAGGTGATCGGAATTCTTTCTCGGGCTGCATTCGCAAATGGTTATGAACCCATCAAATCAGATTCTAGGTACTTGATACGCAACCTACTTAAGTACTTTGTCATCAGTTGGCTAACTGTCAAACTTCAATATAAATTCTCCTTGTCAATACCTGAATGCATAAGGAGAAAATGTCTGCAAAACCGGAGAGAAACCTGGCAGAAAGTGTTGTTCTAATGCCAGGATCAACCATCTGTTCCAGGGACTTACTATCATGAAGACGTAACAAAGCCCAGTTCACCAAAGATTGCTCATCTCGAGGTCTTGAACTGTGTTGAAAGGGAAAAATGGTTCATCAGAGATATGTTAAAAAGGGTTGCCTACATGAGTAAAAAGAGGATTTAGGATGGAGAACCTATCCCAGGGCCTTCTTCCTGTTAATAGCTCCAAAAGCAACACTCCAAAGGCGTATACATCACTCTTTGTGCTATCACTCCCTGGTCGGCTTAGTTCAGGTGCAATGTAGCCAGTGTCCCATATAGCAATTTCAGAAGCCTGTTTACATCAATATTAAACGACATTTGAAGCTTTTGTAAGTCTGTGCAGCTTGTAGAATACTGTAAGTAGCTTTTTCCAAGGGACTTGAGAACCATACATACATAAATACATGCATGCAGACATACAATTCTATTTGAAATGCTAATAACTGTCCAGTTGCATAAAGAAAATTTTATCCCAATGCTAAGAGGACAGAGTCGAGTGTAAATTTTTCCGCCAACTGCATGAAGAGATACTGCCATTCACATTGATTGATGTTACTATTAGAACCATTTACCTATATGGACTATGAAATATTAGTACCGTTTACCTCCTATGAGAGTTGTTGGTACATTTACCTCATAGAATGTTCTTTCAGCATATTGACTGAAGTTCTTTACGAGCAAATGGAAGAGTTATAAAGGTTAGTTAAACTCGGTAATTATATATGGAATGATTGCTCTCACTTTCAAAGTTCTTACCTTAATTTTGACAGAATTGCTCGCAAGTGGTCTTAGAATTGCTAAGCCACAGTCACATATGTGAGGCATTAGTTCTTCATCAAGCAAGATGTTGGCAGCCTTTATGTTGCAATGAGCAACAGGAGGTGAGAATGTAGAGTGCAAATAGCTGAAAACATCATTAGAATAGAAACCATTAAAAAGCAGAAGGTAAAAATCATAGTAGGACTCATACTCCCTCAACTTCATAAACAAAGCAGCTTGAATAAGCAGTCCGTATCCCTGTCTTCTTGATTGTAAAGTGTGTAATTATTCTCCTATGACTCAATTTTCATTGTGTAGATAATCCTTTTAGATGCACTAAATGACATGAATTCACCTCATAGGGTATTCATGGGATATAGGTATATTTGACATAGAATCCTAGCAGCCAGAGAGTTTAATACTTTTAGATGCGCTAAATGATATTAATTCACCTCATAGGGTACTCAGGGAATGCAGGTATACTTGACATAGAATCCTTGCAGCCAAAGAGTTTTGAAGAAAAGATTTGCTTGTTACAGAAACCAAATGAAATACTTACTCCAAAGCCCGAGCAATACCAAGAGCAATACAAAGACGTAACCCCCAGGAAAGTGGCTTGAAGACTTCATTGTGCAAAGCATCATCAAGCGACAAATTTCTCACATATTCATATACTACAAGATGCTGGCCATGTTCAACACAGTAGCCAATAAGTCTTACAATGTTGGGGTGCCTTAGTTGTGATGCCATCTGAATGACATCCATAAATTTCTCTTCTTCATGGAAAGACAAAGATACCATGTTGATGTTCTTTACTGCAAAAACCTGGACAAAAACTCAACAGAATTTCAGTTAAAAACAATAAAACCTTGTATACAATTTGTTTGTCACTCGAACAATATAGAAAAACCTTGGAAGTTATAGAATTACTTGGCCATCAGGAACCTCAGCTTTGTAAACAGAACCGAGAGATCCCTCTCCAAGAAGGTTATCTTCACTGAAGCTGTTCGTAGCTAATTGAAGCTCTGCCAAAGTATACACTTTTGCATTCATTTCAAATTTACGTTTTCTTGCGAGACTTTTTCTTCTAGGTGTTTTGTCTGTCCTGGTAAGATGAACAGGGGGATTATGCCTTGGGATGAGATAGACTGGACTGCCAATATTGAAGAATGGTGGGCTTGCTGCTTGTGCTGTAGTAGAACAGTCTATAAGCATCGGAAGAAAGAGAGAAGTTTTAGTTATAACTAATCAGTGAGACAAGTGCACTCCATATCCACACATACTCAAGAATGTCAACAAGTGGAGCTCTCACCTATCGTTGTACTGATTGGAAGAGAATGCAACGAGCTATTGCTGCTGTCCAAGTTTCTAAGTCCTTTTTCATTAGACCTGTTAATGTGGATTGCAAAGAATAATAGAGCACAGATAGACACCAGAGCCACCCCAGCAACCACACAAGCTATTCCAACAGGGCTTAGCTTTTTCTTCTTTTCTTCACTTACTTCAGGGGAGGGGTAGTCCACCACGGCACTCTGTTGAGTTGTTGGGTGGGTAGTAATATTTTGCTCATGCGGAACACTGTCCAAAGGGAAATTCCAGGGTGGATAGATGGCTGCTATGTCAAATCTATTACCCCAAAACCTGTTAAGAAGTAAAAGAGGAAAATAATCATAATATGATTTGTTAGTTTATGCACCATTTAGATTTTATTACTTACCATAAATTTGGAATTGACTGAAACTGGTTTGGAATAATGCCACTAAAATGATTATCCTCAAGGTTCCTGAGAAAGAAATGCATGAGAAAATAGTAAAATTAAAATATCAAAGTTAGCAGCAAAATAAAGCAGAAACCAGTCCTCATAAACCTACAGGTCAGTTAATGGAAGCTCAGCCAAATACATCACTGATCCAGTGAAGTTGTTATTTTGCAAGAACCTGTAGACAGACCAAAGAACATATGGAAATTGACATGCCTGTATAACGGCCGAATGAAGTTGGGGCATGCAACAAGAAAATTTCAGATTAAGCTGCATATAACTCACAGTCCAGTAAGATTTGTCAGTGATCCAAAAGATTTTGGTAGATCTCCAGTGAACTTATTGTTCGATAGATCCCTATCATAACGGGTTAAAATTTCATATATGAGTAGTCGTCATTGCATGGCGTGGAAACTAGTAACAAGTTGGAATAAAAAATAAGACATTAGACAGGTGCAGCATATTACAATTGAAGATCACAGTTCTATAAATTGATAAAACATTGTGAATTTGTGATTCACTTCATCTTGGACAATATTCAGTTCAGAAAGTCGTAAGAACTAGTTTCACTCAAATCTGAAGTTTCCAACAATCTAAACAAAAAGGTTTGACAGAAAATATTAAGAAGGGATGCAAACCAGTTTCAGTCAATAAACCTAACATGAATATGAAGCCTGAAAAACATTCAGAATTCTGTATTGTTTGCCATTTTCCAAAAGCCAAAATTTATTAGATAGAGGCTTCCCATTCACTTTCAAGTTTCAATGCAGATAAAAAAAAAAAAAAATTAGATGGAAAAGCATACATTGTTTTCAGACTCTGTAAGCTAGTAAACACGTCGCCAATAGGTCCAGACAAAAGGTTGTTGCTTAGATTCCTGACAAGAAAAATAGAAATAATTATGAGTACATCAATGAATAACCAAAGTTAAAGCCAGCAAACTAGGTAATCATAGTAAAACCAACTTACAGATGCCTGAGATTTGTCAAGAAAGATAACGACTGGGGTATATTTTTGCCCAAGCTGTTACACGCCATATTTCTGAATTCATTAAATGATAATGAGAAACAATGTAAGGGAGGACAAAAGAACAAAAATTTCTATGGACCAAGTCTAAAATGAAATGAAATTTCATTGAAAAATGAACCAGAACTTATAGAGATCAGACATCTTACACATGAGTGACATTAGGGGGTAGGCCATACGGAATTTCACCGTGAATGCTATTGGAGCTTACATCCCTGACACAGTAAAACCAGCTCAAAGAGTTTAATGCGTAGTAGAGCTTCCCTTAACTGAAATTTTCTGAAGTGCAAAACGTCAAACCCAATACATAATAAAGTTACTCACAGATGTCTCAGGTTATGGAGATTATCAAGTTGGCCTAGATACCCACTGAGGTTTAGCTGTGGAACTTTGCTGCAAAAGGGTAGACAAACGCTTATTTAGGCAGTAGGCCTAAAAGAAATGATTAATTATTGATTATCCAAATATAGTGCATGGTTTATTTAAGCTATATCTTTTGCACATTACAGTTGTGTCACAGAAGAACCAGAACATGCCACTCCCGTCCAGACTTCCCCACATGGATCCCCGCCATCAAATTTCCACCCTTTGAGCTGGGACGTGTAGTTCAGGGCCTTGAACAGACTGTTTAGAGCGACGACTGAAAAAGGCAAAAGGTATATACAATTAGTAAATCCAGATTAGCAATATTAGTGGCACAAGGTTATCACTAATACGATAAATAAAGCTAAGCGTATTAATTGAACTGAAATATGATATGAGATCCTTACTCAACAAACTAGTAAACTTCAGAAATTAGGAGTAAGAGGAAGAAGAAAATAAGAAAGAGAAGAAGCTAAGGAGAGAGAATTCCGCGAATCTCGGATGCCATGCTCTTTATAGCTAACGGTATTTTTAACAGTCAAAATAGGCTGAAAGAAAAATGGGCCTAGTTCTAGCACAGGCCTTACAAAGAATATAACATTGGTCCAATATTAATTAGCCCATAACATTTGACCCGCAACAAAATGGCATAAGGTTTATGAATTAACAATATTAATGGTCCACAAAACCAAGTTAATTTGATCGTTTCCTTAGCAAAATAAAGAGGGGAAATGGATTAATTCGATTATGGACAAGTTCTTTCTCAATGCATTGTGGACAGAGAAAAACCCAAATCTTTGGATTTTTTAATTTCCCAACATTATTAACTATCTCATAATTAATATTTCTTTTAGGTTTTTTCATGGATTTACCATGATCTTATGTAGTCATCAGATAAATTAATTACCCTGAACTAACAAACCGGAAAATGATCTGCTGTTTCCCACCCGATATCTTTCACTGTTCACATTTTCCCCGTATAAATTAGGCTTCAGGTAAAAGAGAATTTTCCAAATGCGAAAAAGAATCTTTATCTTATTATGATCTTTTTTGTCCAAAGTAATTGAGTAACTAAAATACTTGACAGCGAGAAAATAAATTGTCGTATAAACTTTCATAGACTTTCCTATATTTTCTTACGAACCAAACAGAAAATATATAAAAGAAACCACAGAAGTTGAGACAGACAAAAGAATGGAACAAAATTACCATCAAGTTTATCCGTAGTAGCTTTAGACTGTAAAAACAAAGTTGCCGAGAAAATAATCACGGTAAAATACAAGCCCAGCAGCTCCTTGTCCATTTTCGTCGAGAATCTTGTCTTTTCCTGGAAACGCAGAGAAAAAAAAAAGCCTTAATGTTTCTCAACCAAGGCTCAGCTTGTCAGATTTTGGTTTTCTTGGAAAGTAAACCAAATTTCTTGCATTTTCCTTGGTTTTCTAGGAAACCAAACAGAGTAAATATCATATTTCTTTATAGCATGCATGATTCACAGTTTTTCAAAGAATCATCAATCGAAACATTAGAGTAAAACTGTAAAAAGAAACGTAGAGATCTTAAAGATACAAATATCAAAAAGAAAAAGAAAGAGAGAGAGAGAAAAATTGCACTTAAGAAGTGTTTTGACTTGACATTGACTGAAGCAGAGCTCAAGAAAAGCGCTGAAAGCCTGAAAGACTGAATTTTACACACAGAATGAGAGAGGCTAAGAAAGGTGGCGTGGAGGGGTATTTTTATATCACAATCCACGTCAGCAAAAGCCGTTAGGTCGGTTTAGAAAAAGTACCCCGTGGGCCCTTTTTTACTCGGCTCGGTTTGAACCCTTTTAGAGCTTGAGAAAAGCCCATGCTTTTTGGGTGTAGAAGCCCTGAAACTGTTGCCCTCACTTCTTCAAAAGTTAATAAAACACTTTTAAGATAAAATTTATGAAAAATTTTTTCGGTGTAGTTGGTGAAATTTTTTAAAAGAAATAATTTAATAAAAATTTAAAATTAATAAAATTAAATGTGAAAAGTAATAATATATAAAAAATTATTTAAAATATTTCATAATTTAAATTTAATTTATATATATATAATGATAAAATTTTTAATTAATATTTTTATTAAAAATATTTATTTAAAAATATATATTAAAATTTATTAATTTTTTTAATGTACACTTAATTTATATAACAAAATCTTTTAATTTATAAATTTTAATTTTTATTTAATAAAAATCTTAAAGAACTTCTTCCAAAAAACACTTCATTTAAATCTTTCCTCTTCTCTTTTCTCTTTCTGAAAGGTGGAAATGGCAGAAGAATCAAGCAGAAACCAAGGAAGCAATGGTTTCTGCTTTCTTTCTCTTTTACAAATAAACTCTCTGAATTAAGTTTCTTCTATTAGTTCTTGCATTTTTTTTATGCTTGCTATGAGAAATGATGGGACAATGGTTTTTTTTTTTTTTGGCATAGGTAAAAAAATGGATTTTTTTTTTATCAGAGCAGGGATAAGTAAAAAGAATTGTTGCTTTATTAGGGGTTTGGCAGGTCGAGATTTTAGTATTTTGGAGAAGGGTATTAAGTTATACTGAAATTTTATTGGTCTTTTCTAATGCAAAACCAAAAAATTAAAGAAATTCGAAACCTCTGAGCAAATATAGAATGTCAGTTATTTCAATGGAATAGAATTTTTTAACTATTTCCCCCCATTTTAGATTTGGCTTTTGCTTTTTTTTATTTAGCCTTTTATCAATCGTGTGAAACGTTGGTCTTTAAGCTCATCTACTTATTAACAAAATCATAGATGCTCCACTTCCACAATCTAACATTGGCTTCAAGTTGTGCCAATGGGGCTTGACATTCGGCGGTCACGAGCTGGGATTGGACTGAAGGACCTACTTAAGGAGAAAAGAAAAAGAGAGGAGATTGAGTTCGAGAGAAGAAAGGAGGAGGAGGAGGAGGCTTTGATGGTTAATTTTGGTTCTTGGACAAAGTCACAATGGTGGAGTGGGAGAGCTGTGGTAAACTACAAGAAGGCAAAGGCGGCCTTTGATCAACTAGAGAATAAAGAAGTTGTTGTGCCAAAGAAGAAGAAAGATGAAGAGAAGGGGGGACAGGATAAAGAGGAAAGGTAATACGATTACCAAAAGTCGTATTAGTATTCAAATCTATCATTCGTATAAGTTTCACATTTTAAGTCGAAAAGTAGCTGAGCTAGTGGTGCTTGAACCTATGGTGTTAGAATAAAGTATTGTTAAGGAAAAATGTTAAGACAGAAGGATGATTGTATGAATAACCCACATGCATGCTCTTGTCGAGGAATCATACTTGCATCATTTACTTGGCACAAATACTTGGTCCAAGAAATAGTTGTCTTTTGATTGGATAAAGTTCGAAGTCCTTAATAGCTAAATGTAATAGCTTTTAGTCTTCTTGCACAGTTGTCCTCACCTGAAAGGACAGCCCGTTGCTACCAGTACTTTAGCTGTGATCCTGTTTGAGATGGTAACCGGTAAGCAACTATGCAAAAGTCAGCGTTTGTCAACTTCGCTTTCTTGGTGGCATTCAAGCTATGTCCATGTCCACGAGGCGGCTCGTGAGTTCGGACTTGAAGTTGATGTCTGTGAACTGAAGACCAACAAACCTGGCGAGTCTTATGACTTCAATTCTTATTATAAATCTCAGTTGACCGCCCACTTGATTGAAGGTATGCTTGCACAAAATTCTTGTGCTAACAATACTTTTCCTCATATTGTTCTTATGTCTGAATGTAGCCAAGAGCCTAAGATATTTTTGTTGTGAAATTTGCGGTCTTCTCTTTTGTTGTTTAACTGGGAGAGTTAATTTTGTGTGCAGGATTTGCAAGATATATTGATGGAACTGAGAGATGAGTATCAGTACTGTACTTTCTATGGATTGCAGGTAAGCTGGATATGTTTAACATTTTTACCGCTTTAAAGCTTTGCACTTGGTTAAACCTAAATTCCAAAATCCTGAATTCCTGATTGTTTTATGCTTGAACCTTGCATTTGTTTCAGTATGAATCGATGGAAGCACTTTGTCCAACTGCCCTGGAACAAATGAAGATGACCACTTGAGTGGAGCATATTGTTTTAGACGTTTACTTGTTTTTTAACTGAATTGGTGCCGAAGTCATTCCACTCACTGTTGTGAGATGTTTGAGCTTGCTGCGGCTGGAGTTTGTGGAAGCAGGTGATTTTCTGGACTTTGCTTGTTGCTTTTTACAGTCAACATAAGCCAAAAGCTGGAATACAGGTCAGTTAAACAAGGATTACAACGGAGGATAAAAAAGGTATAGAACACCATGTAAAACAATCTTTAAGTTCTTGAATGAATAGAGATGAAGAATGATGTTGTTGAAGCCATGAAATCGTTGTTCACGACTCAGAAGAATTTAGGAGCTACATCACTGGGTTTATGATTAATAGTTGTCTTTTCTTGGTCCCAATTTATGTTTGGGAGCTCCTAGTTTTCACATCAACTTTGGAAAATCATGTTTGAGAGAAATTCTGTCACTCGAGCATCCAGTTGCTGCAGCACTAAAATCTTCATCATAACAACTTCCTAATACACAACTAAATCTAAAAACAAGTACTGCCTTCCTTGATATACTATATTTCATCCTTCGTTCTCTAAAAAAATCTAACTTCTAAAGATAAGGTGGCCCGTTTATTAGTGCATAGATGGCAAGAGAAGGCAAGCACCTTGCTTTGAAAAGGTGTCTTGATCCGACTGCATTTATGCTGAACAATAATTACGACTCAGCATACAAACTACCAACACCTTGTTTACAACTCTGCCAGAGTGAATCAGGCAGCAGCAATAACAAGTGCAGGATATTAGAACACCATAAATTTTAATCAATGCCAACTAAATTGCGAAGCTAAAAGGATTATTTAAGCAAGGCTAACACCTTCCTAGATGGTTCAACTGCTAATTAATTTAGGCAAAAGGGGAACACCTAGCTATTCAGCATGTTACAACATAACTGCATAAGATGGCACACAAAATCAGATGCCCACCCACTTACAACATTAACAGGGGATAGTTTGGGTTTTATCCAACACCCACTTAAAACATAAAATCAGATGCCCAAAACACCACAAATACACAAGATTGGGCACAAAAACTGGCCGACATGCACAGGAAAGAGAAACGCAACAAACTTAGAGCGACCAGTGAATATGCTGCGTCGAGGTGTCATCCGCCCTGGACTGCTCAAGTTCCATGTATTGTCTCCTGCTTTGCTGAGACAACTCAAGCCCGCCAGAAAATTGACCGTTAAGAGGCTCTGAGATTTGTGCAAAACCCAGGTGAGGATGCATCTCGTTAGAGCTGTAACCAGAGTCGTTACCCTTGAAACCCCAAGAGGCATTTGAATAAGGATTCACAACGGCACCATGAGGTGTTGATGGTTGAACCACAGAAGACCCTTCAGTATTTATCATGTCATTTATCCCAAGAATGGAAGCCCGATTTCTTGAGCCCCATGGTTGATTTGACAGAAGAGAGAGAGCACAGGTTGAGTCACCAACTCCAGTGAAGCATTCTTCCGGATGATTTCCAGTACTAGAGAAACCAGTCCCACCTGGTGAACCTTGCAGGAAGAGGTTAGGCAGAGGATTATCTGAGTTGTTTTGCCATGGATGTGGAAGTGACCTTCCCGTGTTTTGATTTCCAGACACGCACTCTGATGATCTTGCTGTTATCCACGCATCCCTTCTGGAAAGCCTTGGGTAAGTTGTGAAATCCATGATAAAGCTTCCACCTCTACTACTGCTTTCTGCATCATAAGCATCACATGGGGACACCATATTTATTACACATGGTAGAACTGCAAGTCACCCCCTTAGAATTGCTAAAAAATGAAAAGTTTTAAATATATTTTGTAACCACAATCTAACCAAAAATAGATGAAGAGAGCCTGCTAAAACGAGATGATAATAACGATCCGGTTGGTGGTTTCCTGCGTCGCTCATTGTGACCTGCTAGCCGTCTACGGCAACTCCGTTTCCCTTGGTCAAATTCAGGAAGCTGATGAAATCTGGATAGAGACTACAAGAGATGATGTTAATGTTGATTCAAAAAGAGATTCCAAATTTAATTGCATAGGAAATCAAACCCAACAAGAACTAGAAATAGATGGGCATACAACAAAGGATTATTCTTCTTATCTAACAGATGATGACAAGAAAAACATGATTCATGTAAACAATTACAAGTCTATCAAGCATGCAACGCACGCCTTTTGACTTCATATGGGAGCAGAAATTCAAATAGTTTCAAAATAGGCTATATATGCACACTCAAGCCTTATCAAAGCACAAAGGTAAAATCTATAACTTTCCAACAATTCATATCTACTATTCCTAGGGCATACTTTTTCTTAATACTTATTTGTGAGGAAAAAAAAAAAGAAAAAGAATAGAAATAGAAAGAGGAGGAGAAAAAAAGGAGGAAGCCTTAGACCTGGTCCTCTTTCCTGATGCATAAACAGGTCTGCAACCAGACAAGAAACTCACATATAGCCATCACCAAAATAGGTCCTCAGTACATACTAAATCTCTGATCTGGAAATACTACCAATCTACCATGCATACTACAGTTTAGAATCCTCAAACATAACAAACTGAATTGAGAAAGAACTTGCCAACGTATGTCATAATCTGCCAGTTTTGTTGTTACTTTCAGAAAATTGGAGAGATGCTATCATATTCACCAATGTTGTATGCTATAACTAATTTCACCCACCACAAAGTCAGCCTACCTTATACACGCAAAATGTATGATTAACCATTCAAACTAAACAACAGAGCATCATACAAGTATTTTACTAGGCACAGCCAGATTGCACCCTGAGATTTTTACATTGTAACTAAAAGAAAAGAATAGACAGAGCAAAAACATAATTAAAAATATTCAGCTTCTCTATATGTATGATATTGATATTCCATCTAATTATAGTGATGGAAGACAAATATTTTTCCCAATCAAATTGAAATGGCTTTTACATGACCTGGATTGTTTTTATCTTAGTGTATTAGTTCCCATGGTCAACGGCATGCTTCAAACTCTGTTTAGCACACTCCCTCAAGTTGCATTACTAAAATTAACACACCGACTATTTCTGAAGGTTTTAGAATTGAACTAAAAGGCTCTTGGATTGAACAAGGTACGAGCAGCATAAAAATGGTACATAGACCACTTAAAGGCAGGGAGAATGTCAAAATACCAAAAATCGCCACGAGCAAAAGGTTTAGGACCATTTAATAGAATCGACTACAAAGATGCTACAACCAATAAAGTCCAGACCCTTCACTAGAATCGTCTCTATACAAATCCAAACACAAAGAACCAAGTACATCAAGCCAAAAAAAGCACCAAGAAACCACAACCCAATCCCTCGCTTCATAAGAATTTAAAGCAAAAAAAAAAAGATAATTAGAGTACGCAAGTCCAAATTAAATTAAACAGAAGTCAATTACAACCAAACAATCCATTTAACTAACCTAATAAATCCAAAAACGCCGTCCAAGAACAACTAACAATCTACAACCACAAGAACAGATTCATAACTCTAGCCACCACAACCCTTACCACTAAACAAAGATGTTCAAAAAGACTAATAACTTGGAGAAAGTAACAAACTTAAAAGCATACTAATACAGAAAGCCACAAGACCGATGAAGTGAAGAAAAAAGGAAAAAATTCAGAACTTAACCCAATACAACCACTAAAAACAGAACTTTAACTAACACAAAAAACTATTTAATAAGCTCCTCAATAAACTACTACAAGGGAGAAAGAAAAGGAAAAAGACCAATCAAAACAAAGCAAGGCTAAAAAATTGGAAATAAAAAGTAGAAAGAAGAGAGCAAAGTTCGAGGTATTTGGAGGGCTGACCTGCTACACTGCTGACAAAACCTTTGCTCAAGACCAGCAACAATGACTTTCGGTGACTTAGAGTGCATACCACAAACCTTATGCCTTGAATAGTAAGCCTTAGCCTCACTCAGATCCACTTTACACCCTTCAACTTGACACCTTGGAGGTTGAGCACCTTGCACCACTCCACCAACCCTAGCCTTCCTACGGGACCCGGATGAACTTGAAGACCCAGGACCTGACTTGGGCGGCGTCCCCATGGTTGCACCACCACCAGCAGTACCAGCAGCAACTGTTGCATCCTCAAAGTAGATTTTTTTACCAAACTTCAAGCCGTTAAGTGATTCAGTGGAAGAGTTGGTGGAAGAACCACCAGACTCTGTCAAAGAGCCCGAACCCATTTCCATGAGCTCTGCCTACTGCCCATTCAAGGGGTTTTTGTTTATGTGGGTCATGAAAATGAGAGAGAAATTGTGCTCTTTCTTATCTCACCGTACACACAACCAAAAAATAAACAAAAAAAAAATGTGTTTTTTTAAATAATAAAATGGAGTTATTTGTTTCTCTTAGTTTATACTATTTTGGTCATGCAGTTGACTTCCTACATATCTAAGTTCAATTAATATATTATTTATAATAATAATTTTTGATATAATAAATGAAGATAATAATTTTTAATATATTAAATGAAAAAACTATATTATATAATAATTCTAAAAATAAAAAATATTATAAAATACAATAACAATAAATAATTAAATAATTAATGAAAAACATAAAGCAAAGTAGAGAGGAAAAAGAGATATATAGAAAGAGAGAGTTAAAAGTTGGACAGCTGACACTGAAAGTTGAAACTGGCCCATGCCAGCGAGGGAGGTGAGGGACTTTGTCTGTCATCTAAACATCAATACTTTATCTAAATAAATAAATAAATGAAGATAAAAGAATGGTAAGGTAATTTATTTTTTGAGAAATTTATTGTATTAATACTTTTTATTTTCCATTAATTCAAACGCTCCTCTCTCACTCGTTTCGTTTTTCATCTAATAATCTAGAAAAAAAAATCATTCGTTCAAAAAATTCCTGTTCCGTATAATAATCCATCAAGACCTGAACTTTTTTTTTTTTGCCTTGCCAGAATTAGTGAAGATTTTTATTATAGTAATAGTACTAAAAAAATTCATTTGAATGATAAATTTGTCACTTCAAGTGGGGTTGTTCAATCAGACAATGACTGCCCCATCCCATCATCAAGTCACATTCCAAAAATTATTTTATTTATTTAAAGCGTCCTTTCACAATTTTATTGGAATTTGAAGAATAAAATTGGGGAGGATTTTTGGATTCAAGATGTGACATTTTGGAGACACTAGACCGTCGGACCCTATTTGAAAAATCCTGCAATAGATTTTGTGCAGAATTGGCAAACTGTAAATTCCAATGTCACTGATTTACTATTTTTTTTTTTTTCATTTCCAGTTTGGGTGGATCTCATCATCATCAATCAATCTGGCACACTTTTCATTTCGTGTTTGAAAAAAAGAAAAGAAAGAAACCTGAAAGACCTGAAAAAGTTCTAAATGAGGTTTGGTTTCAGACTTTTTCTGAGTTAGGTTGTGTGGTTTGGTTATATTTGTTCTAAAATTTCATTTTTGGAAAGTATTTTTGTTTAATTTGTCTTCTTCTTTAGTCGTACAAAAGCTAGGGTAGCAATAGCCTCTGTAGAGTTATGGATTATGGGTCAATCCATCCATCCCAAATCAAGTGCAGTTTTAGACAGCCTTTACCGTCATATATGCACCAAAATTTGGTCATCAAACCCACAGTATCAACGTCATTTTCCATTGCAGTTACTCGAGGAACTTTTCTTTCGCAGTAATCCATGCAAAAAGTTTCCTAAAAACCGGTGTGGGAATTGGGAGCTCATTATGTAACCCATTAACCATTGCCCCATTTATGGGATGTGGCATCCCCAACGAACGATAATTAGTTAATTACTGTCCATAATTCATGGCAGTATCAATGTTTTATTTATTTTTTATTTAAAATAATTTATTTAATATTATTAACAAATCAAATCATTACTGTTACCGAATACAAAAATTTACTATTATTTTTATTTTAGGATGATTTTTTTGTCACTCTAAAGGTCCGCTGCCTGGGCCACTTTCCACGGATTTCCTACTATCATTCGTTTGAATGCCCACATTGAGCATCTCGGAAACAAAAGGGCACAAACTACATCATGATTAATGGTTTCCTTTTAAGTTACTTCAAGACTTAGCTTTGGTTAGCTTAGGGGCTTCATTATAAATTGGTTTTTACGTAATTACAAGTATTTTTGACACATAAATATAATTCATTCATCATCAATTAATTTTAAATAAAAATAAATATATTTGAAAAAACCAAAAAATTTTAATATTTTTAATTATTCTTTACAAATTAATCACACTTCTCATCACAATTTTTTATTTTTTTCAACTGATTTAACAACTTAATATACACTAATTAACTTAAATTATTATAATATTGAATAAAATTTCGAGTGACACATACATATATATATATATAATTGTGTTTCATTTCAAATGAGAAATATTATATTTTTAGAGTTTAGAAAATAAAATTTGCTTATTTCTTTTAAGTTTGAAACTTAAAATGAAAAAAAAAAAGAGATTATTTTATATTAATTATGTAGTTTAAAATTCAATTTATGTAGGCTTGCACGCTTAAATTACATCTACCATATATCCGAATCGATGCACTTCATCTTGAAAACTTGAAAAGTTATGGTAGGTCCAAGCCTATGACAAAATAGCAGTTAAAGGAAAACATTATTTTTCATGTATTTTTTAAATAAATTTATAAACATAAAAAAATAATTATTATAATCAAATATTATATTTTTATGTATTTTTAATAAAATTATAAGTAAAAAAATTACAATTATATGTATAATCGAAGTACTGATCCGGAAAATAATTGAACACGGCTGATAGATGGTGGTGTTATATCCTTAATTGATGATGGAGCAAGCATGTTGGGTCCATCAAGGTATTCAACCAGTGAACAATTGGATACATATCACAATCCTAACTATGAGCCTTTTTTATCATGTTTGTTATATATAAATATAAGGTTACAAATCAACGAGAGAAAAAATATATATAATTTTTTATAACACATAATTAATTACATAAGTCCACAATATTTGAGAAGAAACCTAATAGATTTAAAATTAATATTTGTGTAATCTATTCCTAAAGTGTTTGTATGTTAAATTTATAATTTTTAGATAATTTCATATATATAAAAATATTTATTCAACTTAGATTAATAACTTTATTTAAAGTGGGACTATTTGCACCTTAAAAAATTTTCTATACGTCCAAAAAAATTAACCAATAAGAAAATTATTGAAATATCTATTAATTAATTACTTTTTTATCATTTACATCCCTTATTAATAAGTTATCATAAATAAATATCTGAAAACATTTTTAATATATCGAAAATTCATTTTCCAAAACTTCTTAATTTTGTTAAAAATTCATTCAAAAAGTATTGCAATTATTTAAAAACTTCAATGAAATTTCAATACATTGAAAAAAATTTTGGATATTCATTTTTGAAAACCTTCAATAATTTTTTAAAATTCATTCTCAAAATGCTTAAATTGTTATCCCAAATCATAAAATTTAAAATCTTAAACTTAAAATTTTTGAAACTAAATAGAAAATCAAACAAAAAAAAACTAAAAAAAAAAGATTTACTTATGATTTTAAGTTATCTAATGTCAAATAAGTGATTAGGGCTTGATTTAAAGCTTAATTCTTAAAAAGTTTAGGGTTTTTGGTGAAGAAGAAAAGATGGAGGGTGAGGTATTTGAGTTTTTTAACGAATTAGTGTTTTGGTTTGAAGTGTGAAGAGAATAAAAAATTAATGTTAATAATAATGGGGTGTGAAAAGAGAAAGTAAAAATGTAAATAGCACTGTTCTTTTATTTAATATATTTTTACCTTGATTCTTTTGTTTCTATCTATTTTCTCTTATACGAAGCACATGAAAGGAAAAAAAAAAACAATAAGTTTTTTTTTTCCTTTCATTTTATCAAACATAATACAAAGAAAGTATGAAATATTGGACAAAAGATCATAGTTAAACATGTCAATGATGAGGCAGGTTGATACTTCAAAGCTAGAGCAGAGATAAATATTCTTGGTAAACAATATGGCAATCTAGAAGAATCAATAAAGAACCAAACTTTACTGATACCTACTCTTACCTTGTACATTGAAAAGCTTTTAGTTTTTGAATTGATACTATAATAGAAGAGGTGAATTATTGGAAAGTCAAAATAGAATTAAAAAGCTTTTGTACCAAATGTCCCTTATAAACCATACACATGCATTTAATTTTTCAATTTCTCTACTTCTCCTCTGTCACCCCTGTGGCCAACTAGCATAGGCCAGTTCCATAGCTATTTCTCTTTTATGAAAAAAAATTTGTTAATGACTAAAAAAAATACTTGTATATACTAGTAGTGTTAATATTTTTTTATATTTATTTTTTTTATTCAAATAAAAATATCTAATCATATGTTTTCTGAATCAGTTGAATTAATTGCACGAGTTAGATAGAAATTCTATTAATATTTAATTTCAATTGATAATGAGAATTTAAATTTATATATTTGTGCTTCAAGTGTGACAATTAATTTTTTATATTTAAATTAAAAATTTAATATATTAAAAACATATATTTTTGGATATCGTAAATTTGCATGTTACCACCACTTCTAAAAATTTTAAAATTTATGTATCAGCATAAATATATATACGTGCGAATAATATTGTGTGTCAATGTCTATCCGTAGATTTGTCGATTGGCCTAGTCCAATTCTAGTTGGGTTTTGAGTGGGAATTTTCAAATCCAATTCTTGCTTGGTCTAACTCCAGATACTATTTTATTAATAAAATATTTTTTATTTAATTTTAATTTTAAAATAAATTTAAAAATATTAAAATAAAATAACTTTTAATATTTTAAAAATAGATTACCATAATTAGGCAAATTTGGATGGATCGACTCCAACTGTCCAAAACAATGCTTAGCATACCAACAGGACTTAGCCCGGGCCATCGACACCTTTTTGGGTAAGCATGCATGTCACTTGAGTGTTACCATAATTTTCAATGTAATAGTCTAAACAGCCGAGAATGAAAAGATCTTTTCGGATTATTAGAGCTAGAGGAAAATTTTTGTTGCTTCCCTCTTCTTTTAAGAAATATTATTTGTTTGCTAAAAAGAAAGAAGAAGATGATTTACTAGTTTTTTTTTTTTTTTAATTTGTTTGCGGGGTTGCTGGGGGCATGTAGGGTCGTTTGATACAGTTGTAAGACCTTAATTGGTCTTTTTGAATGCACCATTCTAATTAACATTTCCTATAACTAGGGCACCATCAGGATATCTCAATTTTTATGAAAAGAAATACAAATTTCATGGCATTGCCTTTTAGCATGCTACCCATTTATGGGAACCCTCTCACTTAGGCTCATCGAGCACCAAAATGCATCAATAGATCCTTGCCATTCCGCATTAAACATTCAACTTTAACCAATCATTTGAACCACTTATTATTGTTCTGTAAGTACACCATCAACAGAATTGCATACAAAATGTGCTACTAGGAAATAAAGACTAAAATATGAACAGCGAAGAAAGGAAATTTTATTTTCTTTCAGGAAGATGCAGCAAACTGCTTTCTTTTTAATCCAACAAATAAACAACTTTTAGTTGTTTTTGACACATTGCAACTATCTCACAAGTCAAAACTCACGCAAAAATTGCCCCAGTAAACATGGAAAACAAACATTAAACAGGTTGATAGATTTGTGCAGGTGGCTTTAGTTGATGAAAAATTGAGGATCAATTGAAGAACCAGTCCATCTGACACCTCGAGAGCAGTCAACCAAAAGCTAAACTGATTCAGATCAAATATGTAGGTTTTTTTAATTAATGGCAACAACCAACAGTGTTTTCTTTTTTGGTAATTTTAACATTTATCACCAACAAATTTTATGTTATTCAAAACAGGTTTGATATAATAGATTTTGTTCAGGATGTTTGATCAAAGATCAAAGATTTTCCATGAAATTTCAATCATAATCCATAAAGCTCACAATCGGAATCTGCAGTTAGATGAAGTAAACAAAAAGAAACATGCAAAATGGATGAAAAAGCAAACAATCCAACATAAAGTAGAGACCAGATATGTGTGAATAAATGAATCTATTTTCTGTATGTCTGCTACATTACAAGGATGACATGCAGTTTCTACTAAAGACGACAATGGCATGATTTACATGTAAGCAATTTCTTCCATTAGTGTGTCAAACTTATGATATTCAATCATTACACCTATTGCCAACAGCTAAAACATACCGTGCAGAGAAAGGGCTTAGAAGCAAAGAAAAGGGAAAATCTACAGCAACCTATTAATAAACTGATTTTCTTTACTGAAGTGCAGAAAGGAATCTTAAACCGTATGTAGAAGTAAAAACTGCTTGTTAGAAGAAAAAAGAAAAACCTTAGCAGCCAATCCAAACATTTGGGATAAGTAACTCACAAGAATTCGGCATTCTTTTCACAAAAGCCTCCTGTTTTCTAGCTTCAACACTTCATTTTCTTTCTCTTACCCTCAAACTGCTTCAAAGCCCTTTCTCCTTGTACCAAAAAAAAAGATAGAAAAAAATCCGGCACACAAGCACTCATTCTCTGCCTTCTAAATTTAAAAACATTAGCAACATCTTCAAACCTCTGTTATGTTATATACAACTAGGTCTCATGAAAAAAATTCAAAGTACATATATAGGATGATGGTTAGTTATAGATGTGAAGCCACTAAGAAACGAACTTAATAAGAGAAATTCTCAAGTGAATAACAAGGTCTCTCATGTTAAAAAGCCACTAACAAAATGTGTTTTTTTTTTTATTTGTGGTAACACCATGGAATATTCCAAGCATGAACTGCAAACTTATAAAAAGCTCCCAACCAAAATTATCCATTAATGAAATGGAATTCAGAAACTCCAAAATCAAATAACATGCGACAAAAAGAAACATCTGAATCCATACACAAGCAGACAAGCATTACTTGTGGGATGATTTATCACATACGAAAAAGAAGGTAAAATCCATGATGATGGTTATCTGGAACCTCACTTGCACTCAACAACAGCTTCGGCAGCCCGTCGAGGCTTGTTTTTGCGCCTGCTACCATTTTGTCGATATCCAACAAATTTAGTTGAATCATCAGTGCTTGACTTTGTTGTAATGACATTTTCTTTCTTGACTGAATCTATGTTCTCTTTTGCCTGCATTGATCTTTTCCTCTTCCTTCCATTCTCTGTGGCAGCCTGATTTTTCATCTCCTTGATAGGAATGGAAACTTTTACATCTTCGCCATCTTCTGTCTTCTCCACTTCATCTTCCTCAATATTATCCTTCAATTGCTTTTGCGGCCTTCCTCTTCTCCTGTATGCCGGAATTTTTTCATCTTCATCACTTCCAGGATCTTCGCGAGAAAACACAACAGTCTGTTTCTTTGCTTTTCCTCTACCTCTTCTCATGGTACAAGAATCACTTAAAAACAATTTCAAACAACTGAAGAAGGTTTCTGCAAAGACAAAAAGATAGATTTAATCCAAAAAAATCGACATCAAATAACAATTGAACTATGACAATAAGAAGAAGAGAAGATATAATTAAGTGACAGAGAAAACGAAATAGCAAACTCATTTCCCAAATCCAATTAAAGATTAAGCATACCATGCCAACAATATAATTTAGTATACCATCAGTTGACGTGCAAAAATCGAATAGAAGAGCAAGGCATTGAGAGGCAATACAAAATAAATGAAAAACAGCCATGCAACTCATTTTATCACTATAAACAAAATATCCACCTCTTCTTACCTTAGTTCTGTTGCAAAAAACTCTACAAAAAAGATATTGCAAGTTTAGATATTCTGTTTTTAATGTTCCCACTTATAAGAAACTTTGTAAAACTCACCTAAACCACAACAGAAACTCCTATATGGTTCATCCAACTGCAGGTTTTGCCCTATTTAAATTAATAAGAAGTGCATTTTCTTGTTTTAATTCCTCTTTTTTTCCAACATTTTCAGGGAATAAATCAGAGCATCAAAAACTCAATCAGAGAGTTCATAAAGACATAAATAATTGAATAGAAAGAGAATAAAGCAAATAATAGGATTCAAGAAAATTCAACCTAAATTCAAACTGTATTTAACCTGACAAGTGCACAAGAACAATCTCCAAATTGAAAAAACCATAAGCCAAACAACAACAAATCTATGCAATCTTCAATTTTGAGTAAACAACTAACAATAAAGAAAACCCAAATCAATACAAAAGCTATAGCTTCAAAATTTTAATGTTAGTTCACTTTCAATATAAAACTCACATCATCTATGGTATATTAATATAAGGTTGAGTAAAGCAAAAGTTTTTATATTCTGAAGTCCTAAAAGATATGAAATCTATCAACCAGAATAGCTATAAATAAATAAATATATATATTCTTCATCTCCTATAATTACACCACCAAACAGAGCATTAACTCCTTATAAACCAATACATCATAAAGGAAACATAGACAATTTAACATACATAGCTTTTTGTCTTCTTTTCCATAGAGAACTCTATTATCTATTTATAGAGAAAGAAAAAGGAAAAAAATGAAGCTGACCTTAAAACATAAATCAATGTTCCGCAACTTTGATACAAATCCCATTTTTCAGAATCTCATTGTACCAATCAAGAGCGTAACTATAACCCAAGGAAAAAAAAAGCTGGGTTTTGTTTTGTTTTCTTTCAATGGTTTTTTCAACAGTGAAGCCAACAAAGAAAAAGGAAAGTTTTCTTGAAAATTATGATCGGATTCGAGAAATAAAGAAAACCCAGATCAGATAATATGGTGTAAGTTAAAATGAAACATCATCAAAAGCATAATGAGTTCTTAACAGAGGTAAGCCAATGTGCAGAGGCAAGGTTGATAACGAGAAGATACTAGAATATAAGAAAGAGAAATGCTGAGAAGGAAGGTAAGAGAAGAGAAAGTGAGAAAAAGTGTTAAAAAGAATTTTCCTTTGGTGTGTTGTAGAAGGATTCTAGTTCAAGTATTAGAGCAAGAGAAAGTATTTTGTAGGGTAAAAACTAAAGTAGAAAAAAAGGAGTTGATTTTGCTCACTGTCAAGAACAATATCATCATATCAAGTTGACTGTGGGGTTTGCCTTGACTTGACTTACACGTGTACGGTGATTATGGCATAACACAAGAATAGGCGTTTGTGCAAAGGATTTTTCCGTAGTTGATTACAGATTCTGTGAGCTAAGACTTGATTTCAATGATACGCTCAAGAAGGAGCGTGAACCATTTCAAAGGTAAACATAGAGGGGCGTGGATATGACCTTCTTTTATAGGCAGTGTAACTGTGTAAGCTTGGTTTAGCCCTTTATTTTTATTTTTTACTGGCTCCTCATTTATTCAGTTCAGCTTATTCAAGTGAAAGGTAGGATTGAAAAAAAAAAAAATCAAAAATCAATTTTTAATTTGGTCTGAATTAGGTTTTTTTTATTTAATTTAAATCAAATTTCAATATTAAATATATATTAAGTTTGGACTAAGATGTAAAAAATAAAAAATTTTAAATTAAATTAAAATATATATTTTTATTAAATTTTATATATATTTTAAATTTATATAAAATAAAAATAATTATTTTATATATAAATTTATTTAAATATATTAAAAATTATATTAAAATAAAAAATAAATTTAAATTTAAAAATTAATAAATTAAATTAAATCGATAAAAATTTAATTTTAATTGAATTTTTTGAAAAAGATTAATTTAAATTTGAATTAAAATTTAAAATTTTATAATATTATATATTATTAAAAAAATTATATTTAATTAATTTGATCGGAATCATTGTAATGAAAGAGTAGCCAACAAATATCTATTGAGTATTGACATGACCTAAAAATCAAATGTCCATCTTTTAAAGTTATACCGTGATTTGTGTATTGTTGTGAGGGTATAATCGTCATTGGGTGATATTGAAAAATCCAAAAATTTGTTCTTCACATGAAATGATATATCAATATATCATAAATGTCTGCGTCTGATGAAATGAATCTATCTTTGTAGTTGAATGGTGTTTTTCACACTTTCAATACAAGATAAAGAAGGTTTTAAAGTTTTACACTAATTACACCTTTATTTAGGCAATTGGCATTTTTATTCATTCCGACGTCAGTTTCCTTTTGAGATATGGAAACTTTTATTGAAACCTTGGGGTGGAATTTGGCTTTTTTTTTTTACAATGTATTATATTATCAAATTCAAAAAATATTACAACAAGTGGCTTAATTTTTTTTTTTAAGGAGGAAATTATTATTTTCACGAATTTTACTATAGATTTTCGATGTCTTTACATTCACCCATTATTAAATATACCTATTTCAAAATAAAAATTTATATTTCTTTTAAATTCATCTTATCTAACAAAATCACATTTCATTTCTTCTAAATACACCTTATCAAATAAAATCACATTTCATTTCTTATCCTTTTAACTCTTTTCTTTATTCTCTCGCTCAATTCAAATTTAATCCAAACTTAATCTTAAAACCATCGAACCAACCCTTACATCATAAGTAGCTTGAGTATTTCATTGATTGTAGATGAGATTTTGATATGTTTGTTAATTAATTTGATTTAAATTGATGCAAATATTTTTTAAAATTTACCCCGATATTTCATCGAATTTGAGTTTTTCGAAAATTGAATTTTGAAAAACCTTTAAAATTTTTTAAAAATTTAAAACTCTTGAAAATCTATTTTTAAGATTTTTAAAAGTTTTTCGTAAATAAAATTTCAAGAGTCTTTTAAAGTTTTCGAAAATCGATTCTTGAAAGCATCAGAAGGCTCTTGAAAATTTATTTTTAAAAATTATAAAATTAGAGTATAAAAAAAGTAAATTTGTTATTTACTAAAAGATAAAAGTGATATTTTATATATAAGTATTTTTAGAAGAAAAATACTAGGATACAAAGAGAAATTTTGATAATGTATTTAGAAGTCTCCATTGTGTAATCCCCTTGCTCCTTTTTTTTTTCAATTTTACCCTTATGATTCTTTTTTCTTTTCTTTTTTGCCTTATAATTATAAGTCCTATATTTTTGTTTTTAAATTTTGAATTTAAATTTAAAAATATTAAAATAATTTTGTTCATTTAATATAATAAAAAATAAATTAATATTTAGTCAAAAAATACATTAATTAATAAAATGTTATAAATAACATTACAATATATATATATATATATAATTTATCAACACTTTTAAAGTAAAGTACTTAATGATCATTTTTCATTCTCATTTCATCATATAAGTTGTTTTTGTATTTAAATATACATTTTATCATTATTTTTTTAATTTCATTATTATAATAATTAAATTTATTTTTATTATTATTTATAATTTAATTAAAACTAATCTTACCGTCCATTCAAAATAGAATCTAAAATTTGTTATTCTTTTAGAGGGATGTTCGAGAAAATAAGGTTTAGAAAGGGGGGAAGAAACAAAAATTAAAAAGCTGAAATTTGGGGTTTTAAAAGCAGCAGAAACAACGCCACTTTAGAATCGGGTCATAAAACCCCAGCGGTGTCCCTTCCTCGGCTCACGGGGAACTCCAACCCGTTTGCTGCACTGTTTTTTTTTTTTTTCAATTAAACATTTTTTTTTACGTTCTTATTTTTTATTATTTTTATACATTTAAAATTTTAAATTAATCATGTCTTTGTATAATTCAAATTTGCCAAATTTTAAATAAATAAAGAATCTGTAAATTTAATTATTTTGCGTAATTTGCTGACAGTTTGCACCATTTTTTAAATTATAATTTACATTAAAAAGAAAAAAAAAAATGAAAAATTTCAATATTACATGAAAAATCAAATAACAAAATCAATTTAAAAAATGGATTTGAATAAAATAAATGATATTCAAACCAGAATGAAAAAAATTAGCAACGAAAATATCAAACCAAATTTTCATAAGAACATAATTAAAAATTCCTAAAAAGCTAGAGATAAATATAACTAAAACAGAGATTATGCTTAGAAATTATAAGTCTAACAAACATTTTCAAATCAACATGAATACATTATCAAGCATGAAACTATTAAATTACCCAAAAATAACCTAAAAACCTTTGAAAAGAAATAAATTTACAAAAAATTTAAAAAATATATCTATTTTTTTATCTTCCAAAAAATGTGTTAATATTTATTGCATCTACAATGCATATGTGCTGTAGGCTCTCAATCAACCATACTATCATTAAGCTCTCCTATGTAAGAACTTCCTATCTTGTTCTGATGTGCAACATCTAGTCCCACCAAGTTGGTTTAAGATACAATCGATCATGTCATTGAACCGCAAAAGCCAAACATGTTGGAGAATTATTATTATTATTGTATGTATAAAACAAATAGTCACATTAAGAAAGCAACATAAATGGAGCTTAGAATATCACCATGAATTGCCTGGGACTTTATTATTGTTTGCCAATATAATATGGGTACCCACCCATTCCCATGGGTGTTGTTGGTGGGATTCCTTGTGGATCCTTTTTTGCAGCAATTGGTGCATATGGAATTGGTGGTTGGGTTGGGTATGGTGCAGGTGCTGCAGCAGGACTAGAGTATGCAGGTGCTGGATATGATGCTACAGTTTGAGGATAAGTGTAGCCAGCAGGGGCAGCAGTGGGATATGCTTTCCCAGACTGTGGATAGCCGGGTGCCATAGGCAGGGCAAGAGGAACCACAGCTGTTGCAGGTAACTGTGTTTGTACAGGTTTGCCCTTGTGGGTATCAGCAAGCTTCACAATGATAGTTCTCCCCTGCAAAGAAACGCAAACTATCAAAGCAAATTTTCTACAGATCTTAAAGACAGCAATAGTCATATTAAAATCATTTTATTATATAATCCAAATTGTATGAATTATAATAATTTTGGGAGGATCACTCCCCACTATATCAACCTCCATGCGTAAACATCCTCTTTACGTTCTATCACTTTTATCATGGTGGTTAATGGATTTAGATGCAACACTTGATGTTCTAGCGGCATCTTTGGCTAATATGCCATCTTTAACCAGCAGACTTGGTCAACAAAAAGAAAAAAAAATGATTTTTCAAGCCAAGGCACCATGAGTATTGGAATTGTCCACTTACCCCAAGGATCTTTTGTGGATCATCTATGGCCTTCTTTGCAGCCTCCACTGTCTTGTATGTAACAAAACCAAACCCACTGCACGTGAAAGGAAAATGATAGCAATTCTTGAAATGTACCAAGTACGTCCAAAAATAAATGAATTAATACAACTACAAAGATACATCCACAAAGATAGGGAGGGTATGCACCGTGATTCATTTGTATCTTTGTCATATGCAACTGAGCCTTCCTCAATCTCACCATGCCTTCCAAAATAATTCAGAAGCATCTCACTTGTGATATTTGGTGCTAGGCCCCCAATGTAAAGCTTCCTTTGAGCTAGATCAGGTGTGGTACTCGCCCCACTTAACCCCTCACAAGCTAGATTACAAACAGCCATACGACCCTGAATTCAAACCATTCAAGAAAATAAAAAATTAATGACAAAAAATGTAAATAAACAGTAGTGTATCAAAGGACAGAATGCATTTGAAGCAAGTATACATTAATACATCATTCAGTTCCTTCATTTTATGGTACGTGAATAATCCAGAGTTTCACGTGTGCATGACACTAAATATGCTTTGCATTCAATATAGACAATATTAACACAGAGAGAGAGAGACTCTTGATATCGATACGACAACAACAACAACAACAAATTAAGCCTTATATCCCATAACTTTGTTGATGTTGATAATAATGATATTTGATATAGGATCATCTGGATTATCTTACAACCATGTTACCATGGGAAAGTATGTAATGTAGCAACCCAGGAAATATAATCAAAATTGCATGATAATGATCAATAAAGATCTCAATGTCAACATAAGATTACAGAATTCAATTCCAAATGCATGCTGCGTAAACTATGTTCTTCATTGATGCCAGTGCTTTTTAACTATTACTGCGGATGTTCCACCTCTCAAGTCATGTTCTGTTATTGATCCAGAATGCCTTTTTTGTCCTTCTCTTTTCCCTCTCTCAATATTTAGCTACACATTGGACTAATATATAACTCCGGATGCCAAAACCATCATGGCAACACATATCTTTCTGACTCCACAGATTAGAAATAGGGATGTTTACTAAACTATACGTTCTGATAGTAGCCAAACTGAGGCTATTTTATGCACATGCATTTAGGTGAATTGAAATTCCACATCACATTCGTCATCACTTATAATACATGTCCTAGCAGTAGTCTTGGATCAGATTCATGATAATAGAAAAGTCAGATCAAATTGATTCTATTAATGGGTGATTCCTGGTGTCCATCCTGTTTATTGAATGAATGATTGTATGGAGAAAAAGAGAGAGAGAGAGAGAAGTAGCAAATCCCAAAAGGATAAAAGGATTGAGATGGCATGTACATCTCATCCTACGAAATTACAAAGATAAAGAAAAAGAAAAAAAGATAAGATGAGATGCATGTCTTTATGAAGAAGAGACTAGCATGCAAAAGACTGAAAAGTAGCTATCGCTTACATCAATAAGTTTGCTGGGTGCTCTAAGTGCACTATCTGCTGACTCCATGTGTTTGTAAGTAATGAAACCGTAGCCACGAGATTTTCCTGTGGCTTTGTCATAGATGACAGCCCCTTCTTCTATTTCTCCATGCATTCGAAAGGCCTAGACCAAAAACATAGGCTCAATCCTTTCAGTTAAAATGCCTCTGAGTACAGGTCTTCCAAAAGTTCATAATAATAATAATATAATTAGAAAAATTAACCCAGAACTCTATATCATGTGGGACAATGACCACAATTTCACAGTAAACACAAACAGCAATCGGCAATGCACTCACAGCACACAAGGTTTCTGAAGTGGTATTCCAGGCTAAGCCACGAACAAAAAGCTTTCGGTGTACAGGATCTGAACTGGCAATACTTTTAATTTCTTCAGCAACTGAAGGATATTGGGACCCTCTTTATGTGTCAACATGCAAATAAACACACAATCACAGAGTCAATCACACAGCATACAATTTCAAACAATGGTCATATAGCACCCATTCATTTAACACAAGCATCACACACTCACACACAAGATGAATTACATAGACAGAGGAGATTCTAAGCCACAATGCCTTTAATTCTTTAAATACCACCACTATTGTTTCATAGTTTAAAACTATTATTTCAGGATGTTATTCACAGCTTTAAACATTTAACCATCTTGTTGGTGTATATTTGTTGGCATTAAAGCTAGATGACTACAATGTAACAAAATTAGAAAACTTTTCTTGACATGATTAGTGAAGTAAACAAAACACTCCTGCCCCCCCTTAATTATTTTATTCTTTTATGAAAGCAAAATCACACTTCAATTGTGACATATCCATTAAACAATTCCTCTTTAAGATTTTAGAGCTTTACACAATCAACATCATTTCACTCATTGAATAAAGAACCCACTATTAATCTACTATTTTCTACAGCATACAGAGCAGGGTTGGCACAGTTTGTTAGATATATATATATAGTAGGTTTCACTTTCTTTTTTTATCCTCTTTAGAACTTCCAACATTAAGGATTGGTCACTAAAAATTTGGTCTAAAATCTACTCTGATTCAAGATGTAAACGAATATATATCAAGACCCTTCTCCAACAAAAATCATGACATTAAGTTCTTTGTAAGAAGGTCATATTTTCTTACTAAGAGGCAAAAGCATCTACAATAGGAGCCAAACCAAGGAAAAAAGAATAACAAAACAAGGCTCTTGATTTCAAAAGCCAATACAGAAACATGCTAGAATTAAAGTTTTGCTTGGTAGGAAGACGAAAGGGGTGAGGATGGAAAGCTTGTTAATCCAATGATTAAAATTCATAACCACTTTCCTACTTTGCAGCTTGACCATTGGATTAACAAGTTTTCCATCATCCTTCCTATCAAGTGAAGCCTAAGAGACAAACTAAGTATGGAAAAATGGTCAATTTATGGCTACGAAAATGCATAAAGCAGAAGTCAAAAGCATACTCACAAAATATTCTTTATAACTAGACAAAAGCCTGTGCTTCTGCAAATTTTGCTAAAAAATTAGCATTTTATTCATTCATGGATTGACCAAAACCAAAATTGAACTTTTCAAAAGTTCTACAAGGTCAAGCTCATTATAGCAGAAATTAAAATCACTACAATCTGACACTCTTCATTCGTAAAAGTCAAGAGGTTCAAGCTGAACAACAAAAATTTTGAATTTAAAGGAAAGAACTTCCTGAAACATTCGAAAATGCTTTTAAAAAAAATGACATCAAGGTTTCTTTCACTATATTTGAAATAATTATATAACTAATTATTGCATATTATTACAACATCCGTATCCAATTATTCTTAAAAAAAAAAAAAAAAACAACAATCTACTAACACTCCCCACCAAAATCCAGAAATGGCCAGCAGACAGCTATGTAGTATTTGTTTTTTTCTATATTTCAAGTAAAAGAAAAAAAATCAAAATTTCATTCTGCAGCTGTTTTAGCTTCACTTGGGGACTCTGGTAAAAGCAAATACACTTAAACAACCATTAATTTACAACCAAATGTACCAAAACCAAAACCTTAAACTGACCAAACCAACTCTCGAGAAACCCATCAAAAAATTACCCTTTAAAAGAACACAAAAGTGAAGAAAACCCAGAAATCTTCATTCATTAATATTCAAATACTTGGGTTTTTGGTAAGAAAACAAAAGAAATTGAGGTATTAAAAAAAAGTGAACATACAGTCTAGAGAGAAGATCGACGAGTTGGGATTTAGCAAGAGGGTCGAGCAAGGATCGTAGCTCTTCTTGAGTGGAGAACTCTCTATTGTTTCCCATCTCTTCCATCTTTCTCTTCTTCAAATCCTCCATTTTATTTTGCTTTCCTTGTCGGCCTTCTTTCCCTCTGCAAATATGGGTTCTTTCGTTTACGACTGTACGACGTTTTTCGCGATAGATATCTGTTTTATTTTGGTTTGGGTAATATTAACACATGAAACCCTGTAGTTTGAATTTTGTTAGAATATCCACCTTCCATAATTTGATTATTTCAATTAAAGGCTCTGTTTTTTAGCAAAAAATTATTTTTAAAAAATATTTATATTTTCGAAATTGAAAGAGATTTTTATTATTTAGATAAGTTAAAAAAAATGTTTTTCGTTGTTTAGTTATTTTATGAAATTTTTTTTTCAAATAATATTAATATAATTATTAAAATATATTAAAATTATTTATTATTAAAATTATTAATATTAAAATAATTATATTTTATTTAATAATATTTAATATTAAAATATTATGTTAATATAAAAATACTTAAAATAAAACAATTTATTATTTTTATATTATTTATTAATATATTATTTATTAATATAAATATATTATAATATTAATTAATTAATATAATAATATTTATTAATATAATAATTATAAATAAAATTATACTCAAAAGTATCGATAAATAGTTTTACTTATAAGCAATTTTTTTTTAAAAATATCTTCTTTTTCTCAAATTCATAAGATAATTTTTTAAAAAATAATTTTATTTTTTATTGATCAATAAGTTATTTTTCATTAATTAGTTTATTTTCTGTCAAATAAATATTTGAAAATACAAATTTCATTTTTGAAAAGCCATTTTTCATGGAGCCAAGTTTTGCTTAGAAATGTAAATGGGTTGAGCCAATGCTTTTTTTTTACCTCGTGCATAAACCTTGCAGGAAAAATAATCAAACTAGGCTCAACTTGATTGAGCTCCGTTGAACCAACTTGAGTAAAAAAGTGCCACCATTGTTATATTGATTTAGTTCAGCTCCCTTACTTTTCAATACAATTATCATTATGATTTTTACTTACTGAACTCAATTATGAGTTATTGATTCTACATATGTGAAGGATGATAATGAAAAGAGAAAAGTAACGAGTTTCTTTAGATTGATCATAATTTTTTTTTTATCTATTTATCAAATGTAAAAAAACTAGCAAATGAGCACAAATAGTCTCCAACTTTCTCACATACAGGGTATTGAATTTTATTGCAAGCAAACTATCAAAAAGAAGGAAAAGAAAAATAAAGGAGGATTCTATGGCCCAGTCTATGGCAATTAAAACATTTCATGGTTGTTTATAAGAGCTTGATGTGCATTAATAGTTCAACACACATTCACATGTCCAAGCTCTTAAGGGCACGACTCATGATTGAAACTCATTTATATTTCTATGGTTTAGTTACGGTCATCTGTTTGACAGTCTTGTTCTTGGGCTTTTTTGACGAGCCATGAACGCTTGTTTTTTTGTAAATGGCCATTTTATGACTTGAATTTTGAGGCTCTAACTTATCTTGGATGGGAAGTGAACATTTTCTGAATTTTCTGCAATTGAGGCTTCAATGTCTTCGAGGCTAAATGATGGATCAAAGGTTGTGATGTCGAAATCTTGGTTTTTTAGAAGACTTTCTTTTGTTTTTGTTTGCTGATCAATCATCATCTTAAGTTGCCTTCCTTGTTCTTCAATTTGCAACTGCAAATTTCGCTGAATCTGAGCAGGAAAATAAAAGATATGTCAACCATGTAAAACAAGTTCAAGTTTAAGGTTCAGAAACAGGATGCCACGAAAATTTTTTACTTATCAATTAAGCTGGTTTAGTGATCAGAAGCTCTCTGCCAAGGTTCTGCCTGGGTATGAGTTAGTGCATTCAGGGCAAGACACAAATCAGGGCAAGATATACCATGAAAATGGGATAGAATCATACCTCTAATTGTTCATGAAGACGCCTCTGGAAATCTAACTGAAGTTGCAATGCTTCTGTGAGGTGCAAACCACTGCCAGACAGATTGGAAATTGCGATTATATTGAAGTGTAAAAGATGTAGCATTGAAATAGGAAAACTTGGTGGAAAAGCAAAACAATTTTGATGGTAAATTTCAGGAAAAAAAAAAAAAGAGAGAATGTATTTGGATAGAATAAGGGGGGAGTGAAGTAAGAAGTTTACGTTTTGACATCGATCTGAGTTACATCAGTTGTACGAATTATTTTCTCTAATTTTCCTGCAACAAGTAAAGTTATTGATGAGCTTCTGGTAATCTCATACAGTTAACCAAAGCAAAAATAGCTTGCCTATGAACATTCTATGGCTCCCTACAGAAATAATCAAACAAAGAACAGTCAAAATTTCCTTGTGAAAACAGTAAAATGATTTGTTCTTAAACACAAGGTTGTCATGTCCTGAAAACTCACATTCAATGAAATATATACCAACAATTCAGGTCAACATGCATCCATGGCAGGCAGCATTAAACAGATAATTGGAATTATCAGAGTAAGTATATATGATCAGATTCGGAAAAGTTGCTTACAATAAAACAGATGAAAGCCAAGCAATATTTCTATTGCAGAGATTGTATAATAAATGTGTCATATGAATGGCCTTTCAAAGGGAGAGGCAAAGGCACAAAGGGTCAGAGTTATAGTTCTGCAGCTAAGGACAGGAAGGACTGTCCCTTGTTGTCTAGGAAAGAAGCAGATAAAATACAGAAAAGAAAAGAAAAGCAGTCGTAGGAGCAAGGTATACCTTCAGCAGAGTCTGGCATGTGTTTTGCAAAACGATATTTCTGTAAGACAGAAATCAGAATGGAACAAAATTCAGATATTAGCATTTTGCCAGCATAATATAAATCATTAATCAACAGCCAAAGTACTCTAACTTGCATTTATACCTGCAAATGGCTTTTCACATGAAAGATGGTCAATCCTTCAGTGTCCATCAGTTTCAGAATTGCCTTTGGAGTTGCCTCTGTTAGATCCAAGTACAATAAAAATAACTAAAATGACTGCAGAATGAATTTCTCAAGATTTGACAAAGTTAACATCATATTGTTCCTTACTCTCAGCACCACCAAGGCATTTAACACACTCCACAAACTTCTCATGAAGATCCTGTGTCCACCTTATTCGAGTTTTACTAGCTACCACTGCCCCGGTTGAAACAGAGTTACCAGAAGAAACAGAAAAGCCCCCGGAAGAATAGTTTGAAGACTGCTTCTCTTGCTGAAAGAAGCTTAGTTGTTCCAGTGGAGAACTATAAGAATTACAATAAGCCTGAAAGGATACAGCCGGTCACAGTCAAGACAACTTCTTCCATGAAGAAAAAAAAGAACAAGAAAGTTAATTGCAGAACTCAAAAATGAAAATAAAACTTACTCTTTGATCCTGATTTCCTCGGAAAGGAACCGAAAAGTGATTCCCAACAGTAGCAGCACTGTTTCCAAGCAAGTTACATTGATCATGTGAGGGAACCTGGCTTCCCTGTAAATTGGTGCATGGAATTTTGTAGGACTTTTCCGAGGACTTCTGGTATTGATTGCTGCAAATTTGGGATTTCACCAGTGGCTGCAATGTATTTCTCAATTCATAGTTGGGTTCATCTTGAACAACTGATTCAATGGAAAAGTTCTCCCCTGAATCATGAAATGAATGAAACTGAGAATTGCAGTTATTGTTGTACTGGGAGCAGGAAGAAGAACTACCCTTTTGGGACCCGTATGGGGGAAACCCCATGCATATTTCAGTTGCATAACAAGCAGATGCTGGAGACTGAATACCACTCATAATTGTATTGGATAATTTAGCAGCTCCAGGATTTTGCTGCTGTGACCCTCCCTCCATAGCAGGTGCCTGAATCCTGATTCCCCTGTTCCAAGGCTGTTGAAAACCAACATGATTAACATATTCAAAATTGCAGTCCCTAATGAATCCAAGGTTCTGTTCTACATATTCCTGGCAATCAATCTTCTGAGTGTTCATTTACAAATGAACTAATCTAACAATCCTAACAAAAACAGCTATCAGATGCAAAATTCTGAATTTGCCGTTTAATTTTCTTGGCTAGAATCAGAAAGTGTATCTAATTTCATTCAATTATGAATCACTCAAAAGATTAAAGGCCACGCAGTATACGCGCAAAAATCAAAGAAAAGGAGATGCAGATAAGATGGAGACCCATAGCAGTGTTGAATTCAGATTTATGGTAGCAAAATTCTCATATATATTCCTCAAGGCGTGAGGTTTAAGATATGAATATAACTATACATTAAATTAGTATGACATATGCAAAGTCTTTAATTATTCCTAAAATTGATTTAAATGAACATTGATCTTGACACGACCAAAGCCCACAACTGTTAAATATTTTAAATAGTAAATGGGATCCAACCAAAAATTAATAGACAATAGATGAATTAACCTTGTTATGTTTATGTGTTCATGTTGCCTCTAACTCGACGTTGGATTTTTACTTTCTCACCACTTTAATACCATTCCCACATGCAAAGATAACATACGTACCACGTGATATGAATTTTATGTGTGAGCATAATAGTCTTACACTACAGCATGAATTTTATATGATAAATATAAATGTAATACACCTATCATGAATAGCAGGTCTAATTTTAGATAAATATCTGACTTAAAACTAATTAACAATAAACAAAATGAATTTAAAAAAAAAAATGACCCTTATTATATATATTTTTATTTATTTATATGCTCAGAATAGACAATACGTTTCAATCACCAAAAGAACAAATGGGATAAAAGCCAAGAAAACAGGTCTTAAAAGATCAAAGTGAACATGAAAAGGATTATGGGGTTTTAACTGAGGCATCTCATCTAGGCCTAATAATTCAAAAATAAGATACTGGCATAAATCCAAAATTAGCAGACCTGTAATTATTCCTGCTATGGATACGATGAAAACCTTTTAGCCACCAACAAATATTGTACAAAATAAAATAGTATTTCTTCACCCTTCAAAGAGCATTATTCTTCTTCTTCCTTCCCACAACAATGCATGCAAAGTGGGGTATCTGAAATTACCAGAAAAAGTTCATAGAGTACTGTTATACCAACACCTAAATGCACAATGGATTCGCAACTGTAAGATTCGAAAAAGACATGTTCAAAATACCATGTCCACATAAGATAAACTGATTTTCACAAAATCATACTTTGGATGATACGGAAGCGATATATATATATATATATATATAGATATATCGATTAAGATTTAATTTCAAATGTTAAAAGGGAGAAATCTTAGCCGAATTATAAAAATGGAAGATTAACCCAAACCTTATATGGTGTTGTACTAGATATATACATTCTCCACTATGTTAGAACACTGTTCTATCTGATTACATGCCATATTGTCTTTAATTTTAGAATCATTCTCAACATTTCGTGTACAAGAATATTTTCTCATTTTGACTTTCTATATCATTGATTGTATAACTCAAGGATTTAAAACAAGTTGACAATATCTTGTCACAACCGCAAGTAGGATTTTGAGGTCTTAAATTCAAGTTGAGTTTTTTTTTTTTTTTTTTTTCAATTTTATGATGGATTTTCGCTAACGATGTATAATTTATTTGGTTCATTACACTATTAAATTTAATCTATAATTTGTCATATATATTAAAGACTATTTACTTGAAATTATAAATTTTACTTGTAATACTATATTGATGTGAGAGAGTATATTTTTAAGATCATTTAAAGAAGCAATTCAATTCAAATTAAGCTTGGAAATACTGTGATGATATTATAAAAAAAAAGTTACTCGTAATCTCATAAAGGAAAAAAAGAAATCTAAAAAGAAAAGAAAAGAAAAGACACAACAACTAATCCCTCATCAAGTTTTAAGAAATTAAAAATAAAATTATACATCTGAACAACGAAAGAAACAAAAAATGAATACAAGAAAAAGGCAAGCAGCTGGCATTTTCAATAGAGTGCATATATATCCAAGGCATGAAAGCACTACGAACGATGATAAAACCATAATTTTTGCATGGGAAGTTCCGTACAACTCTTCTGCCAATATTCCAGATTAGAATGGAATTATTAACAATCATATTAATTAATTTTGAAATTTTGTTTTTGATTATTCTTGTATTTTCTTCTATGTCGTTATCAGGTTACGTGCTAAAAATCCGATGCTAGCTGATGGCAAAAACCTGAATTCCTCTGTTATTTGTAAGTTTCTTGATGATGACAAAAGAATAATAACATGTACACTTGACATGACAATCTAGCAAGAGAGTGCACAAGTTTTGTCATGTTCCAAGAACATTTCTTCTTCTTTCCTTTTTTTTTTTTCCCACTCCACAAATGACTAAATTTTGATCTTTAAGAAAAAAATTTCAAGAATCAAGCTTTTTTTTTTTAACTTTAAATAAAATTTTCATAAGGATTAAAACTAGAGATTCCAATTTAAAATTATTAAGCAAATTTGAGATGAAAATAATAAAATTTATGAATTGAAAGATCATGATTCTTTTCCGTTACATGATCTAAAATTATTTGTACAAAAAAATAAATTTTCCTACGTATTTGTAATTTTAAATGGGATGTAAAAGGGCTATAAGAAAAAAAGAAGAAAAAAAAAAAGAAAAATCAAAATGGAAATTCCATGTGATAATTAGAATTCAACTTTGTTGTACATTGTTTGATGGAAACAGGGATTAATGCAAACAGAACATAAGCAATGCCAGTTGAGAGTTAAGAACATGTTCCATGTCTTAATCATATGGAAATTCAAACGCATTTAACAGCTTCAACACTTTTGAGGATCTTTGAGGACGTAGTTACATATGCTCAGATAAAAATATTATTGTTCTCTCAATACTAAAAATTTGTTACATATGCTCAATTTGCCTAACATTTCTCTTCGTTTCAAAATTCAAAGGCTGTTCACTACAGATCCCCAGTATCATATTCGTATTCAATTCTTCTGTTTGTGTGTGTGTGAGTTTTCTTTGAAAGGAGTCCTCAATCCTATAAATGTTGATGGGTTCACACTATAAATCTTTTATTTAAACAATGGCATGAAGGATGGGATCGATGCACTCAAACCATTCATATCATATAACCATTCATACCGATTTAGCGCCCCCATCAGTCGACTGCCATTTCTTCTCCTCATTTCCTTAATTTACAAATGGCTTTGCCTACGATCTTCCCTAGTCTCCTTCTCGAATTTTGGCCGAAAGGTTCCTTTGTCCAAAATTTCCATTCATCATTTGATTGTAGCGGTTTTATTTATTTATTTATTATTTTTACATACGATGTTGGTTACATGTTAAGAGATAACCCTTTTTTTTTTTCTCATAAATCATGTATTTTCTATCTAAAATTAAAATTCAAGACAATAGATAAATTAAAATTTAAAAACTATCATTGAAATTAATAATAAATTGAGTTAATAATAATTAATAAGGATAGTATCATAATAGTATCCAAATATTTAAATTACGACTTGAATTTTGAAAAAAAATAATATGGTACTTGAATTTTTTCAGTTCATAGGAGGGCATGAAAATCACTATTACGTGTGAAAGGGGAAGAGGTGGTTTGGTTCAGACCCAAACCCGCATGTCTTTTTAAAGGTTAATTTGTCACTAGATCAATGAATAGAAGATAGTACGATATTATTTTGCAACCTTTAAAAAATTTCATCATTGGAACTAGGAAGATTCAAAATTTGATTTTAAGAATGCAATCAAAAATTAAATATGATGCAGATGATTAAAATTTTCAATTTATTTAATCATTTTTAAAAATCATGATTTCGTAATTATTTTTATCTCATTCTTAAAAATCTTCTATTATTTTGACATGATTTTATTAATCAAATTCACTGAGAAAATTTAAAGAATTAATCTTTCAACTTTTTTTAAAAAAAATTTACAAATTTATTTCTAAAATTTATTTTCAAATAATTTACAAAAGATTTTTATTTTTTTACAATTTTTTCCAAGAGGCATTCGCCTTCTTTTTTTTTTTTTTTTTTAATCTAAAGCATAAGCATAACAAGGACAACAATCAATTAAATACTAGAGCAAGCTTTCTTTGGCTAACTTTCGATTTACACAAGGGATAGAACTATACAGAATGAACTTGAAGCAATTAAGCTTTGATTTAAATACTAATGTTGATATATTTTAGAGCCTTCAGAAGCGATTATTTCATGATAAAATACTCTTAACATCAATGTAGCCAGCAACAAATATAAAAGTTTAAAATAATCCTATTCTGAGTAGAAAATTCTTTCAGTCCACTTGTCTGATATTTCAAATTGAGAATATAAGCACAATAAATGCCGTATTTATGGTTGCTTTAAGATTTCAATGTTCAGAAAGTGATATAAGCTAATTCAAATATAATATATGCTTACTGTCAGAATCTGAGTTGCCAGCTGCTCCCTTGCCAAAGGATTGTGCAAAAGAACTACCAAGCATGCAACGCAAACCGCTCTTGAATTTCTATGTAGGATGGAAGAGATTTACTTTCACGTAGTAGACAACAAAAGCAAACTTATAAGATATCACATGGATAAGCACAAATTTCCTCAGGATATGGAATGCTGGTACCATGAGCTTTACAGTCACCATACATATTATTGTTATAAGAAGCTCTATGTCTGCATACCTATATCTGAGTGGCAGCATACACGAAAACAAGTCATTAAAAATCATTATATTTAGTGCACTATAACGTAAAATTAAAAGGTGTGCACAAAACAATAAAATCGAGGAACAGGATAATTGAAGGTGGCGATAAAGCAAAAAGAAAACAACATTCAACCATAATTTCTCCAGAAATCCATAATTTAAAGACAATTGGAAAACCAAAAGAACTACAAGTGTGTCAATCCTTGGATATAGTAAGTAGAAGAAACGTTGTACTTCACGACCCAAAATATAAAAATTATGATGTTGAAAAAAAAAGGAACCAAATAGCAAGTAGAAGAAACAGAACTTGTCATGTTCAAGTAGCAAGCACCATTAGCAAAAGGAGGCCTTGCATTGTGTAATCATACCTTCAGTTGCATAGAAAAATCAGACAGGGAAGAGTATTGGTAATATAAATGTGAGCTCTTGAAAAAGACAACATGAAATACCCATCAAG